AACAACAACAACAACAATGACAAGAACTCCGGCACCTTGGTCATCGAAGAGTGCATCAAGCGTTGCGAAAAGGATGCCATCCGCGCCAGTCTCGAGCTGATGACGCTGAGGGAGTGCTTGGGCGTTACCGTTGATCGCAGGACTACCGTCGACAACTGCTTGTGGTTCGTTGGTCCCCGCGGCGAGAAGTTGCCGGTTTTGGATCTGGGTGTTGTTGTTGACCTGACTGGTCTTCTTGGCGAGGGCGGCGAGGGCGAGGGTGTCGAGAGCGCGGTTAGAAACGTCGAGGAGGTTGCTGGTGACGCCGCTGCTCAGTAGAGAAACATGATCATCATCAGATCATAACCGGGCACCTTATGGCAAGGGCGGGCTTTAAGAACTCTGGCATTTTTGGGGAATTGTATCTGGAGGATATGGTAATGGTAATTACATGAAAGTGTGTTGGGTACATACGCAGTGGGGTCAGAAAACGGGACATATTTCCTTTGTTTTGTTTTTACTTCATTTTTTTTTCCTTTGTCACTCAACTCTTCTTTTTCCTACCTTCGTTTGGGGACACTTATTAAAGGTTTCCTGCATGGTCTTACACTCTGGCTCTAGGAGTAGTAGACATTTTACATAGTATCTTGATATCTTAATTATAGTTACTTGCTGCTTTGCGCTTCAGTTTTCATCAAACGTCCTTAGAGGTACCTCACAGGCCGGTTGCCGCTGCCGCCCGGTCGCACCTTCCACTTCGATGCCTGTCATGCCTACCCCGTGCCTTCCCTACCACAACTTCTCATCCCGTTCGAACTTTGAACCCAAGCATATAAGGCACCCAGTTGGTCCCTCCTTCCAACAACAGCCGCTTGGTCAGATGGCGCAGTGGCCTACCGTTTGAGTCTCAAAACTCATTACTTGTCCGGATCGGGAACGGTTGATTGTGCGAAGACACGTAAGGGGGTCACCGCATACAACCTAGTAGCCGGTCTACCTATATGGTATCTGGGAATACTCCAGTCGACAGAAGAACCAAGATATCTATATGGTATCAACTGAACTTGAACGGTTTACCGTTGGTACCCTCTGCACGAGTGGTTGTTGTTTTTTTGCCTTTTTTTCGCTCTATTTTTTTTAGGGAGGAGAGGGGAAATCTGGATGGACATCTGGATGGACATGCCGTTTGTTCAAACCCTCCTTCGGTCGAGCATGCTTTAAACTCCTTTTTTTTTATCCCCTTTCTTTTTTGCCCGTCTCATTTGTTTGTTTGACGACTTCACTTCCTCAATCCATGATACAGCTTTCATCTACCTTACCTAAGCTACGGCTTCTACCGTATGAGCACCACCTGTTCTTACGTTTGCAGCGCGTACATTCTTCTTGTCTCTGAGGACTCCACGAGACCGGACTTCAGAAGACTCGATCCTCCCGTCTAACTCGAAATTGAGATTCTTGTTTCAAGCAAGAATAATCATCAACAAGTAACCATCGGGGTCCCGTCTATAAGCGCGTTCGATAAATCGGTATCAGTACACAAGTCCTCTTGTTCAACCAACTTCATCCTCGCAGTCATGGCGCCAACTAGACTGAGCGGCCGAGATGCTGAGCCACCCAAATTGCGACGCATACCACAGCTCCAAGGCGAGAGCAACTACCGGGATTGGGAGTCAGCCCTGTTCTTTGTGCTTACGTTCCACGGCATCAAGAGGTATGTCCCCGACGGCGTGGAGGAGGAGGAGGGGGAGGACGACGACGACGACAATGAAGATGAAGATGAGAAGGGACGGGTTTGGCGGGAGCGCATGTGGGAATATTCCCTTGTGAGAGAATACATTGACTCCAGGTTCGTCGACCGTCTCGAGTGCTACGGCTTGAAGTTTGGCAAAGACGAGGAATACCATCCCAAGAAGCTATACGACACCATCGTCAAGTGTATCGGCCCACGTGCAAAACAACAACAACTTGCGACCGAGAAGCTGGTGGATGAGTGGTTGGCCAAGCGATGTTGACTAAACACATCACCACAATAGACACTGGCAGCTAGGTACCTAAAGGTACTTACAATAAATCCTCTTCACTTCGTCGTTGGTGCCTTAAACTCTCCAACCCACTTCTTCATAATTTCCACCGCCTTCTCCTGCACCTTCACTACTTCTGGGTTGATCCTGTGTCCAGCACCCTTCATCCCCGCTTCGGTAAATGCATCATCGGCATGTTGAGAATTCTTGATCAAGAAAACTGGTGCGTCCTCCGTCGATTGCAGCGGTCCTCCCGGTCGCAGTTCGCTGGACATGGTGGTTGATCTCCATGGGTCAAATTCACTGTGTCAGAGAAGCCCAGGTATCCAGACGTTAGCAACCAACACCTTTTCTTTGTTCCTGACATTAGGTGGGAAAGGGTATTGAGCAGGACGTGATAGGTAGGAGACAGGAACTCACCCATTAGTCCAAATCACCCTCCTCCGTTCGTTCACCCTCCCCCACCCACCCGTCTTCATATTCAACATCTCCGTCGTCTTGCCCTTGGCGCTACCATACTGTTCGCCGTTCTCGGCCGTGGGAAAATGCATCTCGCATTGGCGCTGCCAGTACTCGGGTGTCAGTTTCCTCGAAACTATCGAGATCTGCTTCTTTTGTTCTTTGTTAGGAGTGTTCTTGGGCGCCCCAGTGGCCCATGATGCCAGAGGTTCGTTGCACAGGAACCAGTACCATGTTCGCCAGGGGTTGCCGAGCGTGCGGGCTTCGAAGAAGGGGTTGAGGAGGTCGTGTGTGTTGAGGCACCAGAGGGGGGTCGGGGGTCGTCTTGCCCCCAGACATCGAAATAGGTGCATGCTGTTTGGTGATGTCGGGGTTAGTGATTCTGAAAGGGGAGGAACGAGGAAGACTGAGAAGCTTCCAAGAGAGGAGGGGGGGTTTAGGTGGGGTTGGTAGGGAATGAGCCCCGGGAAAGGAAGGGGCGATGGAAAGAAGGAAGGAAAGGAAGGAACAAACTAGAATCAATAAACTTTTGCACAAAATACGAAGCAAAGTTCTTCACCGGCGCCGGGACCGTTCCCAGCACACTGCTGTCAATGGAGTGGTTGTCAGCCACCACGGCATTGCATAACCGGAGGACATCTTTGTACCCTCCCGTCTCTTGCCAGTATCTGAACGGGGTGGCGATGGCACTGTTCAGCCGAGCCGTCAGTCGTCTCATCTCCTAGAGGTACCAAGCCACTAAGTACCTGAACAGCGAGAAACAAGGACCACGAAACTTACTACGCAAAATCATCATCCTCAATAGGAAACCCGCCCCAAAGAACTGTTTCAGCGCCTCCACCTTCTTCTCATCCCTCTTTGTCCCGTCTTCGGGAAGCAGTATACTGTCGACAAACTCACTAACGGCGTTGAGAGCCAGACTGCAGCTGGCGCCGCCGTCACCGTACTTGGTACCATTCCAAAGCGCATCGATCCCCTGCCGGATGGTGTCGTAGTAGTACCAGTTGTCCGGGTTGGCTTCGACAATGGCGCTGCTGAGGTGGAAGGCGTGGAAGACGCCCGGGTGAAATTGCTCGATCCAGGAACCAATGGTGGCGGTGTAGGAGGCACCGTAGTAGATCCAGGGCTGTTGGTAATTGCATTAGCAGTTGAGGTAGGTTGGGCCAAGCGGAGAGGTGGATGGATCGAAACTTACAGCTTTAGGAGAGTTACTAGTCTGGTTCTTGTCGAATGGGAACTGGATCTTCTGGGCGAAGTTGACGATATCCGCTGCTGTCTGCTCGGTTGTGAGGTATTGCAGAGTCTCGGAGTCAAAGCCATCGTAGGGAGATGATCCCCCAAAGTAACGATCTATTTGCCAGCCCTAGACGTCAGTGGGCACGAAAAAAGGCGTGCGGGAGGGAAATGATCACTGACGCTCAAGAACAACAGTAGCAGCACCGATAGCCTGCGCATACATCCCAGGCATGGTGGTGTTCTGGAGGAACGTGTATCCAAGACTGGAGGAGACTGATCTGATGATAGGCTCCTCTCCAGGGGTCATGAACACGACCTAACGTAAATAGAGCAGTCAGTGACTGAAGCTATCTTTTAGACCACCATATTTCTTCTTCCTTTTTCCCGAAAAACTCACTGGTGACCCCGGACCGGCCCACCACTCCCTGCTAACGCAGTACTGCTGCTGCCATGTTCCAAGCTTAGGGTCGTTATGGTCAACGGGCTGCTCGAACCAGCCGCAGGAAGCTCCAACAAGGCTGTTGATGGCTAGACTGATTCCCTTCGTTGTCGAAGAAGAAGTAATTTCCGGTATTCCTCTCAAGCTCGCTTTAGGTGCTGTCCATGCCGCAAAGGAGAGGACTGCCCCAGGGGAGAGCTTCATGGTGAATTTCTTTCGGTAGCCCGTTGTTCTTTTTCTTTTGGAAGTATGAAAATGGGGCGGGTGGGTTTCGAAATTTCGGTCTTCCCCATGGGGCCGTTGGTGCTTGTTATACGAAGGCACACATTCGAGAACAAGCCATCAACCCTAGAGTATACAGAGATCAACGAAGGTATATTTGTTTTTAATACAGGGCGTGTTACGACCCTGAAAGCGGTTATGTCCTCGTTCAGACTGCCGGACACACACACGCATCCAACTTAACAATGGTCCCGTTACCCCAGATTACTTTGGCGGATATGTGTTGTCTGATATACCTCATATGAGAGGGAGTCGCACGAGAAAGCGGCAGTTGTCTCCAAGTGGAAAAAATCAATGGGTAAGTCGACAAGCGCATATTGTGGATGGACTGAGGAGACTTTCCCATAGGATGAGGCTAAATGGCCGGACCCTGGGCCTGCTGAGGTGCATATGCCATTTTCCGATGGACGGGAGATTTTGACTTTGGACCAATACCTGTCTGAACGTCGGCATCACAGGATTGGGTTGGATATTACCTGATTGGAGAGCTCGTACTGCACAAGTTGGGATTTGGTGGCAACACCAAATATGGTTGAGTGAGTCGTTGACGCGGGCTTTCGGGCGCAATGTGATGAGCGGGGAATATGGTTTGTGCTCGTAAAGTCGGGGCGCAGAAAAAGGTGCGACATCGAGTGCCAAATCGACCAAGTGATATTGTATATGGCGGGTTGAGGCCAAACCACCGCGCCGCATGAGCAGCAATAGCTGGATAGCCATTAGAGAGGCCATGATGCAAGTCAGTCGCAACGGTCAAGATGTGAAGTCACCATGAGCACCACGTTCGTTGTCGGAGTGCCCTTCGGCTAGATTTGACCGCTGTCCATTATTTTGCAAGTCATATACACTAAATATACGAGAGATCTGGACCAATTTATGTCCCTTTTTTATCCCGAAGATAACCTTTTCCGATATTCCTATCCATAGAAAACCATGCCAAATGTCTTTTGCTTTTCTCTACCCAGGTTCGCCCAAATTCATACAACACATAAGGAAAAATCGTTTAGTGAGCACCACCACGACCACCGGTAGCACCACCAACCGCCAGGGCCTTGAGAACCTCAGGCTGAATCTGCGGCAGAGGACGACCCCTCTCGGTAGGCTTGGGGACATAGTTGATCTCAGAGAGGAAAGCAAGGAACTTGCCGACCTCCTCTCTGCCGATACCGCTACCAGTGGAGTCATCGACGCCAGTCCACTTGTCGGCATCGGCCTTCAAGACAGACACGGCGTTCCGGTCGTCCATCTAGGGGCACGAGTGTTGGCGGGAAGGTCGTTCATGCAGAAGTGGTAGAGGGGCATGAGAGCGTGCTGCTCCTGATCCTTGACCAAGGAACCAGCAGAAACGAACTTCTCGAGCTCGGCCTTCCACTTCTCATAGCTAGTCTCGGGAGTCTTGTAGCCGTAGTACTCCAGGATAGCGAGGTACTCGTTCATGCGGAGACGAGGATGGGCGGTGACGTGGATGACGTGCACACCGCTGGGGATGGGGTTGAGCGCAGCAGCCACGACGGTACGGGCGACGTGGTTGACGGGAACGGCGTTGACAGTGTTGACGATGTGGGGACGAGAGGAGATCTGAATGCAGCCCTTGAGCATACGGACCAAGAAATCATCGACGTTGCACACACCGGTGTTGGCATCACCCAGGATGTAGCCAGGACGGACAACGGAACCCAAGAGACCACGCTTGCCGGCTTCACGGACAAGCTGCTCAGAGACCCACTTGGTCTGGCCGTAGCCAGTTCCGAGACCACTACGGCTACCCTCCATGTCGTCGGACTCCATGATGGCACCACGTCCGGTGCTGACTTGCTTGTCAGACAGGTTGAAGTAGTAGTCCGTGTCAAGAACACTGGTGGAGCTGACAAAGCAGAAGGCCTTGGGCTTGCCCTCGTTGCAAAGCTTCATGGCGTCAACGGTGGACAAGACGTTGGCGGCCATCATATCGTGGTAGCGCTTGACCCAGTGAACAGTGGCGCCGTTGTGAATAACAACGTCCACCTTCTGAGCAAGCTCCGCCCAATCGGCATCATCAATGCCGAGGTTGGGCTTGGCCAAGTCACCGACGACGGTGCTGAGTCTTCCAGTCCACTCATCATTCCAAAGGCCGTAACCCTGGAGAGAGCGACGGAGACGCTCGAGCGCCGCCGTGGAGTCCTTAACACCACGGACGTGGGCAATCAGCTTGACGGTGTGGGCCGTACGGTCAAGGACATCCTTGACCAAGTAAGAACCCAGGAAGCCGGTGGCACCAGTGAGGAAGACAGTCAGCTCCTCGGAGCGAAGGGTAGCGGGGTCGGCTGAAAGATACTTCTCGGGAAGCTGAGCCAAAAGCTCATCCAAAGACTTGGCGTATTCGTCCTCACCAGCCTCAGCAGTGACACCGCTGGTTTCCTGTCCGAGCAGCTTGTCAACTTGGGCACAGAAACCAGCGAGGCTAGGGTGTTCGTAGATAGTGTTGATAGACACATCCCTGCCAATTGCCTTACGAATGTTCAGGAGGAACTGCTGAGCCAACAAACTGTGACCACCCAGATCAAAGAAAGCATTCTCACGCTTGATCGTCTTGGGGTTAAGACCAAGGATAACATCGGCCCACAGCTGGGCCACGGTGCGCTCGGTCTTGGTAAGCGACTCCCAGTTCTTCAGGTCCTCATCGGAGGCATCCTCAACACGCTCAGCCACATCGGGGAAAGGAAGGTTAGGCTTGTCAACCTTGCCGTTGGGGTTCAGAGGCATCTTCTTGAGGACGACATAGATGGTCGGGACAGCATAGATGGGGAGGCGAGAGCTCAGATGATCGCGGATCTCAGCCTGCATGCGTCTGTACTTCTTGAGATAGACGGTGACGGGACCCATCTCAACACCCTCGTCTTCGACATCAGCGAGGCCACGGACCTCGAGCCACTTGAGCCACTCCTTGTGCTCAGGGACAATGTAGCTGACAAGAGTCGGCTCTTCGTTACGATCCCTGCGGACGAGGGTCTTGCAGTCACGGATGAGAGGGCTCTGGCTCAAGTTGCTGTCAATGTCGTTGAGCTCGATACGGAAACCACGAATCTTGACCTGGTCATCGGCGCGGCCAACGCACTCGACATCACCAGACTCGAGGTAGCGTCCAAGATCGCCAGTGCGGTAAAGTCTATCTCTAGGGCCCTTGTAGTACTTTCTCCAGGGCTCGTTCTTGTTGAGCTTGGCGTCCGCCTCAACCCACTTGTTGTTGTCAACAAACCAGTTGTTCAAGAACTTCTGCTCGTTCATGGCTGGGTCGCCGAGGTAGCCTTCGGCAAGACCGGCAGCACGGACGTAGATTTCTCCAACCTCGCCAACCTGGCACTGCTGCTCGCGGTTCTCACGGTTGACGACCAGGAGCTGAACGTTTTGCATGCCCGTACCCGCAGGGACAGTGTCCTTGAGCTCTCTTTCGAGGAAGTCAGGGTCCCTGTTGCGACTGGGGATCTCGAAGTAACTGACAGCACGCTGGGTCTCGGTGGTGCCGTACATGTTGATGATGTTGGCATTCTCAGCCAAACGTCTCAAAGCACGACAGTCGCGGGTGGTCAGAACGTCACCGACGAAGAAGACATTCTCCAAGCTGGGGAACTCAGCGGTAGCACCACCGACAAGAATCTGACCCATGGCGGGAGTCAAGTGGGTAACAGTGGGCTTGTGCTCCTTCATCCACTCAGCAAGCTTCTCATGCTGAATATCCTCGCGGGACGGGACAAGAAGCTGGGCACCAAGGAAGAGAGGGGTGAAGATGTCGCGCTGTACTGGATCGTGGGCAATGCCGGAAAGGAGGGTGTATCTGCTCTCGGAGGAGAGGTTGAAGCGCTCGGCCATCCAGCCAAAGTACTTGACCAGACTGTAGTGACGGCCGAGGACACCCTTGGGGCGACCCTCACTTCCGGAAGTGAAGGATAGTGTGGGGTTCGAGTCGGGACCGACTATGACATCGGGAGGCGCGGAAGCCAATTGCCTTACTTGGGCAAAGATATCCTTGCCATCGACCTCACCACCGTAGAGAATACCGTCGTCGCGAAGACGCAAGTCTGGTACGTCAGTCTTGAGCTTGAGCTCGTCGTCAATGTACTTCTGGACCAAGGGGGCCAACGGGCCATTCTCGTCTGTGGCACGGCCAATTCGTAGGAGCGCACTGGGCTGGGAGACCTCGAGGTAAATCTGCTGTCTTGCCGGAGGATAGGCAGGATCGAGAACTGTCATGGTTGCGCCAGAGGCCTACACATGTAAGGCACACCGTTAGACACGACTGCGGCCATGTGACACGGTATCATAGAGGAAGCAGTAGGTAGGTACCACATACCAGAATACCCATGAGGGCCACCACCAGGTCGACGGACCGATGGGCCCAAATCATGACGACATCGCCGTTGGTAATGCCGGCCTTGTGCAGGTACCAGGCTAGTGTGTTGGAAGCCTCATAGATCTGGCGGTATGTGAAACGTCTCTCTGGTGTTGTGGAAGTCTTGGTCTCGACGACGCATGTCCTTTCGGGGTGCGCCTCGGCGTTGCGTCTGAAGTGCTCCTGGATGGAACCGACGTATCCGGACCAGTCGAGGTCGATTGTGGGATCGGGTAATACGGACGCCATTGTGATTGTGTCGAGTTGTTGTGTATGTGGAGGGCGGAGGCCGATCTGGGTGTATTAGGAGCCAAGACAAGACCGAGGAGAGTTTCAAAAAAGGGCAATTGATAAATATTCTTGGAGAGGAGTAGCGGGAAGAGGAAGAAAAGCGCCCGCCGGCTTCGCGATATTTTATTTTCTGGACAAATGACGCCAAGTGTGAATCAGAGGGCCTAAAAGTTTAGTGGCTTCAAGTGTGACTCAATGGTGCAAGTTGTTTGGTTGAGATGTCCTCCGAAACTCCGACGTCGGCTGGGGGCCACTAACAGTCATCATCCAGTTTGGAGCTCCAATCCCGGCTCCACGGCAAACAGAATTGTGGGGATGTGGTGGGTCAACCTTGCGAGCCCCTCCCCCACAACTTTAAATTCCGAACTTCATTGAGAGCTTTTCTCTTGGCATCAACTTCAATCCCAGGGACCCTGCCTCGCGTCGCCCGTAACATCTTTCCGTGGAAAGGGACTCCTTGTTGCTTCTGATGGAGATGGCTTCGACTTGATTCATTACTTGGTGTGAGTCAGATTGGTCAATATCGTTGACCGAAACCCGACAGACGAACTTGGCAAGCACGCGCCATATAATCTCGTCAACTCAACAACGTCAAACGGCTTTCTCACAGATCGTTCCAGGTTGAGACTTTGAGTATCTCCACCGACTCACATGAACACGGGATCACAGAAATTCGACTGCATCAAGAACCGACTGAATGATGTCTACGTTTCACCGCTCTCTATCTCTCGGATTCCTGATCTCATAGTCCTGTTGAAGATGCTAAGTGCTGTTTACAGTTTTACACGTGTTATCCGATATTGTTCCAACTATCATTACCGAAGAAGCAGTTCACGCGCGGCAAGATTCCATCCAAAGTCTCATAAGCCTACCAGCACCTTCTACCTATGGTACTCCTCTCCTAAATCTCCGCCCATGCGTCTCTTGACCTCATTTCCATCCTGCTCCGGACGATACACACCATTCGCCAATGCCGCAGCCCTAACAGCAAGCTTGAGACGTCTAGGGTCCAAGAGCATGGAATCATTCACTTGTCCGCGACTCGGCAAGACAGAGCCCCTTCACTAGCCCCTTGAACACCTGTTATTATTGATTACTAGGGCACCTGGTTGCGCGGGTACATCTGCCATCCTCAGTGGCCAACAGCTCGGATCACCAGGCGGCTTTCGAAGAGGCTGTGGCTGATATGATTCAGTCTTGAGTCTTGTGGAAAGATTTCTGGTTTTGTTCAATCCCATGCCAGTGGCTGATTGCTGGTGGACTAATATTGTCAATTCCTCCAGGGAAGAACAAAGGTCGAAGTTGCATACACTGTACTCCCTCCACTGCCATCTACCCATACACGCTATCCTATCCATTCATTTATGATCGTTTACGTCTTCCACATGTCGGCTCAAAACCAGCGCATAAGAGACCTATTATAAGACGCAAAAAAAGGGGGACAAAGGACAAAAGAAAGTTACCCGTATAGGAGTCAAACCTGTAACCGGGCAATGGTGATACTGTTTTCATCTACCAGTACTAAGGAGCTGGTTACCCATATTCCAAGGCATTTTCAGTTGCAACAGTGGGCCACAAGACCACAAAACTTCCACGATAAACGCCGGGCTATTTCTAGCCATTATTCCTCACAGTTTCGCAGATAGACCTGCCTCAACCGCTTGAATGGTTTTTGTCTTATCTCTTTTATAATTATCACTGTTTCGGATGCCCTTCTGTGGCGTATGGACAAAACAGGTAGCGGTGTTCACATCAAGTATCATGTCCAACGATTTAAGGCTGAGGACTGGAAGTTTATTGTGCACAATTAGAAAAAGCTCAGCGGTTGGCAGATAGTCTCAACTCTCCCATATCAAGGCGGACAACCTGCGGAAACTAGAAGTCGAGACGTCCTTTACGACAGTAAGTTATGTTTCGGGCATGTTCCTGAATACGCAATCCAGTCAACAAGATCACAATGACGAACACTAGGACAATGCTGACCTGGATGAGATTATACCCAGTTCCAGCATCAGGAGATCCAAGTGAAATATGCAGCACCCAATCCTTTCCAGTATCATCAACCCAGCCACGTCAACAAATCAGGCAGTTCCTGGCTTTCATCCCAAGCTCAGAAGGACGTCCTAAGTCACCACAAGTGTCCATAATGTGATGTTTACTCAGTTCTCGTATTCCCCGATGATGTTTTGCAACGAAGTCCCCCCTCAAAGCTCCACCACGGAGGAAGTGAAGTCTCAAACATACACTCTACATAAGTCATCCCAAACCATCACCAAAAGCCCAAAAAGCTCAGACCACGCTTCATCCCCAAAAAGGTTTAGATTCACGGGACGGTCCGCTGTGGAGCCCACAAATTGCCGCAAAAGCTGGGATCCACTTGCAAAGGGCTTGGCAAGCACAGGTCTTGGCATACTGCGAGCTCCAGGTTGACATGAGTATTCCTCGATTTCCATGGTTTTGGATTACTCAGTTCCCGAAGGAGCTATCATGGAGGGAGCGCCCACGTTGAGTGCTACGAGACCGACTTTGGAAGAGAGTTCTAGCGTGAGGGTTGTTTCATGGCAGCTAGAAAGTGCGTGGAGGGAAGAGCTTTGGCTTTGTTCCTAGTACCGGTAGAACACACAACCTAGGTAATGGAAGCTAACTTGTCTGCGTCATGTTAACTGTGGTGTACCTACGGCATGGCTTCGGCAATAGGCAGGTACCTTGCCTTACATGTATGCAGGCGAGTGCCGGTAGCTGTGTGAATGAGATTTGCAAACTGCACACACCGTAGAGTCTTTCCCGTTGGAATTCTAGACGACCTGTACATGTGCCTATCAAGTGTTCCGAGACAGTCTTGAAGCGCTGAAGGTGAGGACAACAGCAGACTGTTGTCATCGATATGAAAGAGAACAGGAATATGCACTCTTCACTTCTCTCTCCACTTCTCCATCCACCTCTCTTTTCACCTCTCTATTCATCTTTCTTCACCACTGGGTAGACAGACGCAGCCATATCGATGGTGATATTGTCAGGCGGTTATTGCTATTTTGGTTGGGCACACATTTGGCTGCTAATTCAGCCTACGGGAATTATTGTCTTCTGTGCACACCTCTCTTTTTTTCTTTCCTTTTTTTTCTTCTTTTCCCTTTTTTCCCTTTTTTTTTTGGAAACATGATTGCTGATGCTGGTGCTCAGGAATCACAGGACAAAATACGGCTTCACGTAGCGGAGCGAAAGGTCAGGAGGGGAAGAAGAAGTAAGTTCCATCTGAAATGGTATCCATCAACAACTCTGTGTTTCTCCAAGTCTAGATTCTAGTGACTACAGACAAAACGCCAACATGCACATCCTCATTATCTCTTGACTTCGTAACAAATCGCTTAAGCAGAAAGAGCCTTTAGATCACCGGCGTTGATCTTGCCGGCACCGACGAGGCGGGCGGCCTCCTCGTTCCAGACAGCCTTGATCTCGTCAGAGACCTTGAGGCCGTTGAGCTTGCCAGCGAGAGCAGCGAGCTCATCGGGATCGATCTTGCCCTGGATGAGCTCGACGTCACCGAGAACGGCATCGATGGTGGCGACGGAAGCATCACCCTCAACGAAGTAGTTGGCATCCTTGACGGAGCCACGGAGGACACGCTTGTTCTTCTTGACAGCGTTCTTGGCAGCCTCCTTGGCCTTCTTGCTGGCTTCACGGTCGGCCTTGGCCTTCTCCTCGGCCTCCTTAGCGGCAGCCTCCTCAGCAGCCTTCTTGGCAGCAGCCTCCTCGGCGGCCTTCTTCTCGGCAGCCTCCTTCTCGAGCTTCTTCTTGTTCTTGGCGGCGTTGGCCTCCTGGCGGAACTTCTTGATACGCTCATCGGCGGCGGAGCAGTCGTCGAGCAGCTTGCGGAGACGAGCATTGTCCTCGGCCTTTCTCTTCTTGCGGCTGTTGAGGTTCTTGCGCTCGGTGTGGCGTCTCTGGTCGCGGGACTCGCTGTCATCGGGAACATCCTCATCGAGGTACTCGAACGACCTCCAGCTGTCGAAGTTGTAGAAGAAGTTGTAGAAGTTCTCGACCTCCTCGCGGGTGGAGTCCTCGTTGCCGAAGCTGGGGACGGGCTGGATGTTGCTGAAACGGCCCTCAGCCTTGAAGACGTTGCTCCAGAGCTTGTAGAAGTTGCCCTTCTGGAGCTGCTTTTTGGTGGGGGGCTCGACATCGGCCTCCTCATCAACGGAATCGAACTGGCGGCGCTTGATGGGGTCGAGAAGGACCTCGGTGGCCTTCTGGATGCACTTAAAGAAGTTGTCGTCCTCGGTGCGGCCGGCGGCAGCCTTCTTATCGGGGTGGTGCTTGAGGACCTTCTTGCGGTGGGCGCGCTTGATCTGCTCCTCAGTGGCCCTCCAGCGGTACTTGGAGAGACCGAGAACCTTGTAGTGATCTTGTTGCTGTACAGGGGCGCAAATAGGTTAGTGATCAAGGTCTCGCGGTTTCCGTGCAGCATTACTCCTCAATTGGGCACCAACCTTCCAGTCCTTGGCATCGCGAGAGAGCATCATGGGGTCCTCGGGCTCGCTGACGTCGCTCTCGTTGTCCTCCTCGACGTTCTTGGCGCGCTCCTGGGCCTGGATGCGGTCATCCTCGGAGAAGGTGCGCTTGTGGCGGGCGCGGCGGGCGTGGGCGAGGAAGTGAGGGCCGACGGGCTCGATGGCGCGCTGGGTAACCTCATTCTGGGCGATCTTGCCGATGGCCTTGAAGTCCTTCTCGGCGGTCCAGCCCTCGGGGAGGGTGGGGAGAGGAAGGGGAACCACAGTAGTCATTTTTGCGGTTGATGATGAGGATGGTGATGGTGGGTTGGGAGACAGACAGTGACAGGCGCAGGAACTGGAAGCTTGTATAGGCGGGCCCCTCTACTGTTTTTTTACGATTTCTGGAAATTTTTCGATGGCCAAGCTCCCCACATCTGGCTTATCGACCGCCAATCATGGTCCTCACAACTTCCAAGTCCACTCCGGCCGGCAAACCAACCCGGTCCTGGGCGACATTTTTGGAGGTCGCATTGCCGTCACTGCGACTGTTTTCAGACAAGCCTTCGATCTTCTTGTTAGACCAGAAACCCGGCGATAGAATACCATTTACCATCTTTTGAACTTGCATTCCCTTTCCTGACGCTCGTTTACCAGCGCACTTGTCATCATGTCTGCCCTCCACGCCTACCGTCACCTCATGCGCGCCGCGAGAGTTGCCTTTGATGGTACGATGTTCCCCTGCAGTCCCCTTGGTGCACCCGCCGGCCTATGTAGCTCCCCGGACTAACCGGCTGTGTCAAATGTTATAGGCGATGCCCGCACCCTTACCGCCGCCTACGAGTCTATCAGCCGTGGTTTCCGCGAGAACCAGAACCTTCCCGCCAACGATCCCACAATTGCGCCCGCGATTGCGCATGCCGAGGAAGTTGCCAGCTTCTTGAGATCCAACGTTGTTCAGGGCCGCAAGGACGGCGAGACCTACAGTGAGTGGAGTCCAAAGGTTCGGAGTTGTAAATAGGATACGCTTGCTGACTAGTGGTTCCTCACAGAGCTGCGGATTCACAAGGATACCGAGCGCGGCGACAACGATACCATCAAGCTGGGGAACCAGAACATCAAGATTGGCGGCGAGCACAAGTGCTGCTCGGCATAAAGAGAATACAAAGTCACGGTTGGAAAAGAACAGGGATTTTGGAACCTCAAGTTCGTGAGAACGTAATGGACCAACAGGACAGTACTGTTGCCCGTGTATATTTGTAAATCATCTATGATACCCCTCAATGTAAACAAATACTGGAAAACCCCATCCGATATTAGGAAATGCAATGTATCTGAGATACCCTGAGCCCAGCCCGCCAAATCATAATAGCCCTACAACGCCTTGCAATACCATGACCAAATCACTTTTCTGTCTCCTCTTAGTTGCCAGAAAGACTGGCGTACTGCACGTCTGCTGCACCGGGCGGTGCTGCAATAGTGAGGTTGGATGTCTCGTCTTTCTGCGCTCCTGATGCACCACCCTGAGCAGTTCCTCCCTCGATCGCCTTTCGGCCGCCCGTCTTCTGAGCACCGCCAAAGGCTGACCGACCATCTCGTAGCATCTCCGAGCGCTGCTCCTTGTTCATTGTTCCCAAGGCCTTGGGTACGCTCCATCTGACCCTCAAGGGGCATCCGGCAACGACAGCACGGCCCTTGCACTCCAACGAAGCCTTCTCAGCAGCCTCCCGAGTTTCGTAGTTGACGAAAGCGGCATGCGACATGTGTGACACAACCAACGACTTGATCTTTCCGAACGCTTTGAAGAAGTCACGGATCTTGAACTCGGGCAGGTCATCCTCAATGCCGGTTACGAAGAGAGACATGATGCTCTGATCGGCAGGCGGTTGCCAATCCTTGGGTCCGGGAGGAGGCGCCGGGGCAGCGTTAGGTCGTCGTCCACCGCCGGGTCTGGCGCCAGCAGCCGCGGCCGCCCTGGAGTCTCTTGTGCGAATCGGACCAGCCCCACCAACACCAGCTCCTACGGCAGGATTGCCTCCTGTCGCCCTTCCAGCACCGCTCGATGATCCGCCGACAGGGTTGCCATCTTCGTCAACCTCCCTACCCTTCCTGAAATAGGGCTTGCTTTGCGCCAGCCTCCTCAGCAGCTCTCTCGCCTTCTCGTCCGCCTTTTCGTATTCCTCGATACCAGCTCTTCCTTCTTCGATCGCGCGCTCGTTGTTTTGCGCAAAGTACTCGCGGTTGATTTCGCTCTGAGGACCGGGGGCCACGAGCTCGAGGGCTTTGTCTCTGATGATGATGGGTAGTCCGAACTGAAGATCGAGGATGCAGCATTGGCAGGCGTTCTTGAGGCGGGCGCAGGTGAGGCAGATGTTGGTGCGCTTCTTGCGGGCGTGGGCGCGGTCGGCGGCCCAGCTAAAGACGGTGAATGGGCGGGTGCAGAGCTTGCATTCGGCACCGTAGTCTTCCTTGAGCATTTTGACGTAAGGGTTCTCGGGCAGGCAGTTTTCGCAAACGGAGGGGAAGTCGGTCGCTTCCCAACCGGAGCGGTTGAGATCGTGTTTGATTTGCGGCGGCATCTCGTCTGGATTGATGCAAAATCGTCGTGGGATTGAATACGCGTTGATGGTCAGGTGGTGACGCGATGGTTGGTGGCGGGTGGGTGTGCGCAAGTGGTGATGATCTTGGGAACTTTCAACTTTCAACTGACGAAGGTGACCTGCTTAAGTTCGGGCCCTGGGCTTGTCCAGAACGCTCCTTATCAGAACTGTTATCGGACGGTGTGGCGTAACATTACACCATGTTTTCCGTTACACGCGTCACGGTACCGTAAGAAACCCCGGCGTGGCTAAGCTATCCGAGGACACCCCCACATCTCGGTTTAGTATTCGTATTCGGGTTCTGAGTGCACGGGCGCGAGGGGCGAGACCGTCCCAGTTGAATGAGCTTTCACATGGATTTCGAATTCGAGTTCGCATGTTTCGAGTGCTTCTTCGTCCAATTCTCTGGCGCCAAGTTTCACGGTCACAACGGTTCAACCCGAAGGTTGAAAAGGGGGTGGATCTTTCAGATTGGCCGAAGCCATTTTGTGGGGCGCTCGGACCAATTCACGATTGGGATTCGCCTATTTTGGACAGACTACAGCAGCTATCGCATGCTATCGCTGTACACCCTGGCACAACTCTCATCCAGGGGTAATTGCAAGGTGCCAGCGAGCACGAGGAGGAAAGGGGTCCGGGGTCATTATTTTTTGTTTATATGGAGGATCCCGACTGACCGCAACGTCTTCTTGTCTTCTGCTCATCGTTCGTGCCTATCCCATCTTTACTTCTTTCCTTCGTTCAACCACTCTTCCCCGTTCAACACCACAACCAGCTACCAAAATGCCTTCCGCACCACAAGTCGTTGCCCTCGAGAAGGAGGACCACCAGCGCGATGCTGAGTTCAAGAAGGTCATGCACGGCGACTCTGCCAAGGCCGCTGGTGGTGTCGCTGCTCTGCTGAAGAAGAACACCGAGGCTCAGCAGATCGCCGTTGACGAGTACTTCAAGCACTTCGACAACAAGACTGCCGAGGGCGAGACCCAGGCTGATCGCGAGGCCCGTACCAAGGAGTACGCGACCTTGACCAGGCAGTAAGTTCCCCCCGCCTTGCCTCGCAAGATGCTTGACTTTGTGCGCAAACATGGAGACTGACCATATGTTCCTCGCAGCTACTACAACCTCGCGACCGATATCTACGAGTATGGCTGGGGCCAGTGCTTCCATTTCTGCCGCTTCTCCCCCGGCGAGCCCTTTTACCAGGCTATTGCCCGCCACGAGCACTACCTCGCTTCCCAGATCGGCATCAAGAAGGGCATGAAGGTTCTCGATGTTGGTTGCGGTGTTGGTGGCCCTGCGCGCGAAATCGCCAAGTTCACTGACGCCCACATCACCGGCCTCAACAACAACGACTACCAGATCGACCGCGCCACCCACTACGCTGTTCGCGACGGCCTCTCTGGTCAGCTCAAGTTCGTCAAGGGCGACTTCATGCAGATGTCCTTCCCCGACAACTCGTTCGATGCCGTCTACGCCATCGAGGCCACAGTCCACGCTCCCAAGCTCGAGGGTGTTTACGGCGAGATTTACCGTGTCCTTAAGCCCGGTGGTGTCTTTGGTGTCTACGAGTGGCTCATGACCGACAACTACGATAACGACAACGTTGAGCACCGTGACATCCGTCTCGCCATCGAGGTCGGCAACGGTATCTCCAACATGGTGCCCATCAGCGAGGGTCTTGCCGCCATGAAGAACGTTGGTTTCGAGCTCCTCCACCACGAGGATCTTGCTGACCGCAACGATCCCATGCCCTGGTACTGGCCGATTGCTGGTGAGCTCGGCTACATGCAGAGCTACCTCGACTTCTTCACCGTCGTCCGCATGACCCACACTGCCCGTCGCATCCTCCACGGTTTTGCCGGTGTCCTCGAGACCGTCGGCCTTGCTCCCAAGGGTACCAAGAAGACCGCCGATGCGCTCGCCCGTGGTGCTGATGGTCTCGTCGCCGGCGCCAAGAAGAACCTCTTCACCCCCATGTACCTCATGGTTGGCAAGAAGCCCCTCAACTAAAGATGTGCTCGAAAAGATACCCCATATAATCATTTCCATTTCTTTGTACATTTGTTTTTCGGGCGGGGATATAAGGTTTACACACCAGGGTCATCATGAAGCGGATAAAAAATAATGACAAGGAGGGACGGCAACAAACTATTGCATTTACACGCTGATTTAATCAATAATTGCCGGTCAGACCGGGATTTTTGTTCGAAGGTTAGATCTTGGCTACAGCAAAGAGCCAGCAAGAGACCGCACATTAGAGTTGGCTATAGGTAGTTTACGACGTCGTGTACAATGACCTGTATGAATGAACCTAATATACTCTAACTACCACGTCTTTGAAGAACTAAACACAAACCGTTTCCATTCTTCTTGTTTGGTGAATTTTGTTGGTTTTTGTGGCATGTTTGAACTGTTGCACAACCACTGCTCAACAGCGAAGTCCGGACGGAATGCAAGAGCTGGAGTGACACGGTAGCATTTGTGCGACACCGACTCCGGCGGTTCATCTCACACCCACGGCGTTCCTGTCCATCTGCGGCGCGGCTTCGGCGTGTTATTGTTTGCCCCAGCGGACTTTGCTGTATTGGTTATAGTAACGTGTTAGATAGGTTCCTGAGATACGGACCTTCTCCAAATCTGAGGAGGCCGGCATGGAGAACGCTGGTGCCCTTTTGTGAGGCTCAAAACCTAATTTGAAGTATCAATCATACAAGTTCTATAAGATCGACGCCTTTCTTCCAAATGAAAGTCGCGGTGTTGATATTCGGGACCCTTCAGGCTATGACGAGCCTGACGAGGTCTCATGCTAACGAACTTGGCAGGGGTGTATTGGAGAGGAGGGGCAGCAATCCACTCTCAACGCCGTCAGATCCATCGACGGCGAGGCAAACAGTTGCCGATATGTCTTCCTATCCATGCCATTGCCCGCCATGGTTTTGCAACGCATTTTGCCATCAGAGACATTATGGGTTCCGACCTCTGGTTGACTTTGTGACGATAGCAATGACAACCCTAAAAATGCTCCGATGCCAGCCGGCGATGCCCATTGCTTATGAGCTAGACGAAGCTTGCTTATCGTGAGCGAAGCGGGATCGTGAGGAGTCGCGGCGTTGACAGGGCTGTCTCTCCAAAATCGATTGCCTCCGCAGCTGTCATTGCAGTGGGCCAGGGCTTGTCGTCGAAGGCGGCCAGGGTGTATCGAGCCAATCGATGGGCCAGGGCACCCACGAAACTGTCATGGATGACCCTTTGGCTAGGCCTTTTGTAAGCTAGCGCGGAGGAAGCGTTGGGGTTCAACGTTCCAGCTGTGAGAAAAAGCTCGAGTGCGGCGTAACGAGAAAGCTGGATCCAAGCTCCCTATCTTTTGATGGCGGATGGTGCAAGGCCCAAAAAAATCCCTCCCGCTGGTCTCTGCATTTTCTGATCATCAAACATCATCCCCAACCTGACACTTTGCCCTCAACAGTCAGCCAAGTGCCTTCTTTCCCCCGTCCTCACCTCTCTGTCTTCCTTTCCCGGCTCCGTTCAAAGAGTTGCAAGCTGCAGTCGACACTGACGGCAGAAATTAATCGGCAACAGCCCGTCATACCCAAAACCCTTTCATTCCATTTACTCCGCACTGTCGGCTAGTCAGTGCACTGCATTATTTCTGACCTGAGTCGGGACACCCTCTTTTTCTCCATATTTTCTCCAACCCACGAACAACCCAAGCACCCAGAGCCATGTCGCGCTATCTCCGACCCGCAGTCCGCCTGGCTTCCACGGCCTCGCGTGTCCAGGTTGCCCGTCCTGCGGCCCCGACCTTCTTCAAGCCCGCCTCCGTCGCCGGTCTCCAAAAACGGACCTACGCCGATGCCCCCTCCGGCACCAAGGACTACACGGTCCGCGATGCCCTGAACGAGGCCCTGGCCGAGGAGCTCGAGGCCAACCCCAAGGTCTTTGTCATGGGTGAGGAGGTTGCTCAGTACAATGGCGCATACAAGGTCACCAAGGGCCTACTAGACCGCTTCGGCGACAAGCGTGTTATCGACACACCCATCACCGAGATGGGCTTCACCGGTCTTGCCGTCGGTGCTGCTCTCAGCGGTCTTCACCCCGTCGTAAGTAAACTTCCTAAAGGAGGGACCCATCATGACGCACTGGATCGGCCCATGACTCGAAACCCGCCCTTCCCTGTCCACTAAAGGCTTGGGTTCGTCCCGAGCCATAGCCCTATGAGCAACATCGGTTTCAGCCCTATGGTTTGCGAATACGCGCGCCAGGACAGAGAAAGGACGACAGCAAAGAAACAGAAAAACAAACATGTAGTAGAAAGCGTACACAAGCTAACCATGCCCCCACCTCTAGTGCGAGTTCATGACCTTCAACTTTGCCATGCAGTCCATCGACCACATCGTCAACTCCGCCGCCAAGACGCTCTACATGTCCGGTGGTATCCAGCCCTGCAACATCACCTTCCGCGGCCCCAACGGTTTCGCCGCCGGTGTTGCCGCCCAGCACTCGCAAGACTACAGCGCCTGGTACGGTTCCGTGCCCGGCCTCAAGGTAGTGTCCCCCTGGTCGGCCGAGGACGCCAAGGGTCTTCTCAAGGCCGCCATCCGCGACCCCAACCCGGTCGTCGTTCTCGAGAACGAGCTCATGTACGGCCAGGTCTTCCCCATGTCCGAGGCCGCCCAGAAGGACGACTTCGTGATTCCCATCGGCAAGGCCAAGGTCGAGCGCGCCGGCAAGGACCTGACCATCGTGACCATGTCGCGCTGCGTCGGCCAGTCGATCGTCGCCGCCGAGGCCCTCAAGAAGAAGTACGGCGTTGAGGTTGAGGTTCTCAACCTCCGCTCCATCAAGCCCATTGACTTGGATGCCATCATCGCTTCCATCAAGAAGACCCACCGTCTCATGACCGTCGAGTCCGGCTTCCCCGCCTACGGTGTCGGTGCTGAGATCGTCGCCCTCGCTGTCGAGTACGGCTTCGATTACCTCGATGCTCCTCCCCAGCGTGTCACCGGTGCTGATGTCCCTACTCCCTACGCTCAGGGGCTTGAGGAGATGTCCTTCCCTACTGAGGCTCTTATTGAGAACCACGCTGCCAAGCTCCTCAAGCTTATCTAAGTGGTTGTGGTGTGATATAAGGTGTGTGTTGGGGTACGCTACGTTGGGTGTAGAAAAGGCACGGATGGGATGGGAAAATTACAAAAGCTATAAAGAGTTTCAGATGATTAGACTTAGCTTTTGAATGTAATGATTGTGAATGCATATGTCGTGGGCTTCTTGTTGCTTGGAGTTGTTGGCGAGAAAATGGGTTGTGGAACACTTTGCTATTCTCGTGTCCTTTTCTGGTGAGGTCTGATGAGGTCTGATGAGGATAGATAGTGACCCTAGCGGGAAGCTCTCAGCGGAGGGCAAAAGCTTGCTACCTAGACTGCTAGAATGGTCGGCTTCTACGAGGAATGGAATATGCTGTTTGGCCTGTCTGTCACAGCCATGAACACCACAGAGCACGCCAAGATGATAAAACCACAATCAAAAGGAGCATGACCACGCCCTATGCCCTATTTTCGCTGTCTGGTGCTGTATATCTGGCCATCTTCAATCTTTCATTCGCTCGTCATTACGCTTCATCTCTCAGTAACGACAGTGTCCTCCCGCCCGGTCCGAGGCAATATCCCATGTGCTCAGATACGTAGTGTAGTAATTCTTTCTGAATCCTATAAAATGCTGACGATACTGCACCAAGTATCTTTTTAAAACTCTTCAGTTTCCTTCATTGCTTTCATCTCGGGTATCCGGGTATCCGTCTCTACCAAAAAAACTGTAAAATGCAACAAGCACACATGATCGCTTTTCTCTTGAAAACCATCAAAAACAAAAGAAAATGAAAAGCAAATGATCCACCCCATGACTATCCCAGGATACCTTCCATCACATCATTAATCGACTGAGAACCAGCTCAGGCCCAGATCCCGGAAATGGTGAACTTCCAAGCTTTGATGACAAGCACAGTGAGCCGGTTGTCTAAAGGTTGGCAAGTGGATGTTGATTTAAGGCGTCGATACCCCTAATCAATAGAACGTGCGGCAAGGGGAGACAGCCTGAGGATACATACGCATCCTCAAACAGTGGCCCGTCAAACCCCTTCTAGCGCTGGATCTGAGCCTCTCCACTGCACGGTCCAACACCGCCGACGACCTTCTTGGCGGCATTCGTGCTGAAGAAGGTCGTAGCCGCCTTGCCCCTGGGGCACTGCTTGTTCGGGTTTCCTTCGTCCTTGGTGACCATGACCTTGGTGCACGGCGTGAACTTGTTGGCACCGTCGTACATCCAGCCCGCGCAGCCGGGATCGCCGGAGAAGCAGCGGTTGCAGCACTCCTTGCCGGAACTGGCTGAGTCGTAAGTGGCCTCGTAACTGCCGGTCTCGGTTCCCATCCAGGAGAGGTGTTCGATGAAGGTGGTGTCGTCGGTGCATTGCTTAGCGAGGTTCTACGTACAGTCTTTGTTAGCGGAGAGTACTCCGTGGCGATGAAGCGACAAGGTAAAATGAGGTTAACTCACGGTTGAGCTGGGTGTGGCTGCGGACGAAGTCGAAGTTCCGGTAGCCGATGATGAGGGATCGATCGAGGAAGTGGCAGAGGCCGAGGACTCAGCAGTAGGCGTACTTGTTGACGTTAGTGATGTGGACGTTCCTGATGGATATGGATCACTCCTATTGGGGACAGACTTGTTGTGGTGGCCACCGAGCATGCCCATGGCTCCGAGAATGGCCAAGATGACGGCGATGATGCCCAGGGTAGAGATACCGCCAATCATCCACCATAGCTTCGCGCTCCTCTTGTACCAGGGCTTGTCGCTAGGCGGGACCCAGATGACCTCAGGCGGTTCATCCGCGGTTTGTTGCGACTCCTTGGTCCTGAAGCTGCCGCCAATGCTTGCGAGATTGGCGGCTCCTCCAGGTCCGCCGCCGCTATGATGCACCTCTTCCACCAAGCCGGGGTTCTGGTTGTTGCTGGCGGCGGCACCGGTGCTGACGACGAACTCAGGAGGAGGATTAGCCCAGGTCTCGGCGAACTGGTAGTCCTGGCCGTAGGATTTGAGCGTCTGGCTCTGTTGCGACGTCAACTCCGGGCGAGCTCCCACTGCTGATGGGTCGCTCGGCCCAGCGTTGTGGCTTTCTGATGCCATGGTACGGATACTCTGGTGTAATTCCTAATCCCGGGTCCTGGTCAGTTGGAAAATCCACGATCCGTCTTGGGCCCTTGATTGCAGAGTCCAGTGGAAAAGAAGATGCAGAAATCAGAATTGGGTAAGAATTGCTGACGCGGGTTGCAAGAAACCGCTTCAGCGTCGTAAAAGGAGTCACACTGGTTCCGGGGATGACGGGGACTGTCTCCTTACCTTTTTCGTCTCTACAGTATCACCTCGCTGGTCAGAATGGAGGCAAAACCAAAAGTCAAAGCCCGCCGGTGACTCGCGGTAACGTAGTGACGGTAGCAAGTTGAGGTGTGATGTGGAAGAAACACCAGAGTTTGACAAGCCCCTCGTGCGGTAGATGTCTGGTCGTCCGTAGGTTCCAGGTGTTGGTGGCCGTGGGTATTTCCGCGAGTCCGGGCCCGAAAATGTTCCAGGTTTGCGACGGTATCGGGGATCGTGACGTACCTGAAAGATTGTTCAAAATTCTAGACTCCTTGGCGAAGCGTTCTTTCCTTTTCTGCAAGTAAAATGAAGTGGAAGTCAGTTCGTATGTTCCTTCTTTCTGACGGAAGTTTCAACTTGGCAAAAAGTGGGAAAGTGGAAGGGGAAGAGAAGGGGTGTCGCAAACACTGACGGGTTTGGTGGGAGTCGCACCCTTTCACGTCCACTTCACTCAGCTATGGATCCCGTCCAACTGAGATTGAAGTGAAGGGCAAATGTTGAATGGAAAGGGAATGAGGGAAGACTGCGGGTGTGCACCACCAGGAAGAAACGTTCACTGAGTGCCGATGGTATTAGCGTGTAACTCGCAAGTCGTCGCACAATAGCCGTTCGTGCCTTCCCAGCCAGTTCTTGACCGTGTACGGGTTGATCATCTATGACACAGGTCTGAATCCATCGTTCGATCTCGTCTCCCCAACGCCACTTGTCAACAACTTGAACAGGGAGGGATCGTGACAGGACCGGAAAGAGGCAGGAAGTTAACGAATGCGGCGATGAACAAGAGAACCGAATAGAACCGAACCTTTTATTGTCGACGCGAAGGCCTACGGACCGGTCACAGTTCAATGGATTTCGCGACCAACACAGCACAGAGCAGAAAGGCATTCCCCTCTCAGTCAGTCGTCGGTTTTTTAAAGAGGCCACCGTTGGAGGAAACACGAGCAAACCACTGGAATGCAAACAACACCACAGCCCTCCCTGGTTTTTCGCCATTCTGAAACCTCCAAACCATGCTATGTGCAACTATCCGTCCCTCTCGGCTCACAGATTACCTTCGCCCATGAAATCTACGATGGCTGAGAGAAGAGAGGAGAGTGGGTGGACAATCCGCGAAGAAAAGGTCATAGTCGACTAACGACCTTGTGCAAGATGTTATCCCCTGAGACATGTCGTGACCAACTCGGAAACCAGCCAAAGCGTCATCGCGCTTGAGATGAGCAGTCAAAGGACAAGGTAAACAGGTAAACAGAGCTTGAATGAAACATGAAACATGTCGTTCGAGATAGTGGCAGATCCATCCACGCGGCTCGCATGTCTCGTCAACGATATGTACCGCGATGTTAACATGCAAGACGAAAATGCCAACGCTGTTGTTGACTGTGGATGCGAATCGGGTCCTTCCGAGATTGACCCCTGACAAGAGCCTCCGCTGCAGCTGTCAAAAACCCCCTGCAGACATAAGCAAGCGCTCAACGCACGGATCGCCATCTTGGTTTTGAAGCTCCCGAGGATGAACCTGCCAAGCCAAACCTCCTCCGATTCCATATCGGGTCTATCTAACAACCGGCCATCCTCCTCCGGGACGGGAGAATGTCATGGTCACATCACTCCTCCACAAGCAAGTGATCAACACTGCGGTCGAGGGACAGCTACCCGGTATTCCGCACTCTGGTTCGCTTCATGGTTTAGGGTGGCATTTTCGGATATGTTTCTGATCTCTCAGTAGTCAGTACGCATCCTCGGCCGTCACCGTTGACCTGCCACTCTCAGCTTCACTTGACCAAGACCAAAACCCAACAAATTCAATATTTACAAATCTTCAACGTACAAAGCCTTCGGTGATATTGACAACAATGAAAAGAAAAGTCTCTAGATGCCATGCTGCCACCTGGCTTCGGCCTTCGATACTTGTGAGCCAGCGTCTTACTACCGAAGCCATCCTGTCTTGCTCACGACGACCCGCGTCCCAATATATTGGCCTCCTTTATCCTGAATAGCCAGGGCTATATCATTGGCCCTGTGTCTTCTATGCCCCCATCCTTCAATTTAATGTTTCAAGACTCTCTCGATCTACGCTGTGCCACCGCCAATTATTCAACCCCCGATTCTTTCCCCGGACCCCACGGCGCCGTGCAGACGCCATTCTCAAGGATATGATATATGTCACTTACAGCTGGTCAGCCATCTACATGACCCAGCTGCTCACCCTCGGTGTTTCTTTGACTACCACCCTGACCCATACCTACGTTACCACGTAGCTCTGCCACCACAACTGATTCCTGGAAAAGGAAGTCCATCAAGCTCGACTTGCACCCATCTCCCTCCGTTTAATCTATTTGATCCCTCGTTAATGCCACTCTAGGGTCATCAAGTCTCCGTCGGACCGCTAGCCGTGGGCTCGCATTGACCTTTTGCCATGGCTGCCCAATGTCACGAGAACAGAATTTCTCTTTCTGGATATTACGTGCCTTCAAGTATGGTCATCATCATAGAACCTGGGTGTGGCTTGAAAATTATGCGGGATGGTGAGGAAGTGCCGATGAAGACCAAGGAAACTCAACGTCGCCCAATCTAACCCATCCCGGACTCTGGGACGCATTGATTATCTTGTAATGTGGATGGGAACGGGGAACAGGTATAAGAGGCGGCGAGCTCTCACTCCTTCTGGTTTGCCTTCCGTCATCCACTCATCACTCACCACCACTACTATCAACAAGCAGAGGCAAACATACGCTCGACGACCAGACATCATGCGTTTCGACCACCTTGCTCTCTCGGCCTTCGCGCCGCTCGTCGCCGCCCATGGTGCCGTAACCAGCTACATCATTGGCGGCACTACCTACCCAGGCTACGAGGGCTTCTCCCCTGCCAGCTCCCCCAAGACCATCCAGTTCCAATGGCCCAACTACGATCCGACCATGACAGTTTCCGATGCCAAGATGCGCTGCAACGGCGGCACCTCCGCCCAGCTAAGCGCCACCGTGCAAGCCGGGTCTAATGTCACCGCCATCTGGAAGCAGTGGACGCACGAGCAGGGCCCTGTTCAGGTGTGGATGTTCAAGTGCCCCGGTGCCTTTGGTTCGTCCTGCAAGGGCGACGGAAAGGGCTGGTTCAAGATCGATGAGATGGGCATGTGGGGAGGCAAGCTAAACAGCGCCAACTGGGGAACCGCGTTGATTGTGAAGAACCTCAAGTGGAGCAGCGAGATCCCCAGGAACCTGGCGCCCGGGAACTACCTGATCAGGCACGAGCTGTTGGCCCTGCACCAGGCCAATACGCCGCAGTTCTATGCCGAGTGTGCGCAGATTGTGGTCCAGGGCTCCGGCAGTGCGGTTCCGCCCAGCGACTATCTGTACTCGATCCCGACCTATGCGCCCCAGAATGATCCCGGCGTCACGGTATGTTCTAGACCTTGAATCTGATAGGAAGTTTCTGGGCACCAAAAAGCTAACGCGAGATATTTAAGGTCGATATTTACTCGAGCAAGGCCACGACATATACCCCTCCCGGTGGTCGCGTTTGGTCCGGATTCCAGTTCTAGAATACGGAATTCAGGCATGACTGGATGCCCAACAGTGGCGATCCAAAGGATCATGATCAAGCGCAAGTGCCTCACGAGCATCCCAAGGTTGACATGTAGAGTCTATTATCCAACGATCTATATAGTACATACAAGTAGCACAGGGGGTATATCACAAGTATCCTTCGAGAACAAAACAAACCAGCACCCCGTCTATCCAAAGAAGCTGGAGTTACAGCCACCAACTGGGCGATCTATCTGCAATTAATCGCCCCCAACTTCGATGTCCTCTTCATCGTCACTATCAAACCTGTCAAGGTTCCCACCATCTCCTACCCGGAAACGGTTCTTCGCAAACCCCAACAAACTGTACCTAGCACCCGCCCCGACGAATATTGCGATTTTCCCCCTCAAGACACTCGCCCGGGCTCCTGGCTCAAGAAATTCCTGAAGCAGAGTCGGGCGCTCGATAACAGCAACATTCGGCTCGCCGTTCCGGAGCCGTGGCACGCCGGACTGATGACGCGTGTTGGAGCCCTATACGTAAACCTTGCCTTCTTGATCGACCGCGATGCTGTGCTTTTCGCCCGTGGCCACGAGGTCGAATCTACAATCCTCGCGGTGGTAGTGCCACCCCGCAAACTGCGGCGCCTGGGTATATCTATTACCAGGCGGCACGGCGGGAATCACCGGCTCGTTGTCCGCGTCCACCACCCCCATGGCACTCGGCAGCTCATGCTCGTTGCCCCACGCATCGCCCCATCCGCTGTGGCGGATCGCCAGCCCGTACCGCAACGATCCGGAAATGGCCTTTAGCGCCGACTCGGGCTCGTCGACTCTGTGTCCGATCCCGCTGAACCAGGGCGCTTTCGTAGGGAACAGCATAACCCGCATGTTCTCCCCGTCGGGGGCGTCGGGGTGTTCGGGCGTGGCCACGACTGTGGTTTTGGAGAGCGGGAGCGTGGTCTGCATGTCGTCGTTCTGCCCCACACGTAGCAATTCTGCATGCCCGACCTGACCACCGTCTTGCTGACGGCCATGCTGTAGTTGGCGCCGCAGGCTACGTAGCGGATGTTCTGCAGCTCGGCGACGAGCCCCGGCGCGAAGTGGTGGTCCATGTTCGCGTAGGGATCCAGCTGTTCTGCGTCGACGTACTGGCGGCGCGGGGACCGCCGGTAGGCGTTGCGCGGCATGAAGCGGCGGCCCAAAATTTGCGCGTCGTTGGTGCCCCACGAGTAGACCAGCCCTGACTTGGAGAGGGCGAGAACGTGGTTGGCGCCGCACGCGATTTGCACGATTTGCGGGTTGTCAGTCCCGGGAAAGCGAATCTTGAGGGGGTATTGCTGGTTGCGCCGTGGTCGGTGCTGGTCGTACTCCATTTGGCCTGGGTGGAAGGCATAGAAATGGTGGACGTGATGGAAGTCAATGAAGTCGTTTTCGCCGACGTAGTACTGTTGTGAGATTGGGAGGGTGAGGTTAGTTGATGTTGCTTGTTGGGGATGGGAGAGAGGAGGGGGTTAAAGAGAAAAAAGAGAGATAGAAAATGCATACCTTGAAAGCACCCCATCCATAGACCTGACCCGTTTCCGTCAAGGCAAAAGACGCATGATCACTCACTGCCACCTGAGTGAAGACGGTGTTGCGCTCGATGGCGAGATGGTTGATATTCCGCGGCTGTTGCAGGATGCCGCTGATTCTAATTCCGTCCGGATGGCGTGGATTCGGGTCCGGTCCTTCAGCGTGCTGAGGACTTACCCAATTGCCGTTCTAGAGCTGGACCAAGTGCGTTACCCGGCCGAGGGCGCCGTGGTCGTTCGAACCCCAGGACATGACCCGGTTGTCGTCCGTGAGCGCCAAGCAGTGGTTGTTTCCACAGGCTATATCGACGATGTCCTCCTCATCGCTAATCCAATCATTTCGCCGCGGAGATTGAGCGATGGTGAAGACTCTTTGACCGGGTCCCAAGCCCAGCTGCCCTTTCTCGTTGGCCCCCATGACGAAGACGTCCATGGCCTCCCTGGGGGCCCGGTTGATGATTTCATGTCGTTGTCGTTGAGGTCGTTGAGCCATCTTGACTTGGATGGTGAATGTATTTCCTTCACTCGAGTGTAAACTTTGTATATCCAAGTGACTCTGGCTGTTCAATGAACACCATGACTACGGCATCAGAGGTTATACCCCTTCTTATGCTGGACGGAACATGGTGATGGCCATGGTCGTCGAGTACCGAGTAGAGAATCGAACAATGGCACCTCAAGTGAACATCTCAAAAGAGAGTTAACAAGGCGCCATTGTTCAACCCATTTTTAGGAACCGAGTCCATTGTGCTGGCCCGAGACTGAAGCCCATCTTTGTCCCGGCTCTTTCATGAGCCCGCTTTGTGGTGAGAATGTCATTGTGTGATGTTCTGAGCTTTGTCCGTATTTTGAACAACGGACGAGATACTGGTAGGTAGTGTAACAGTTGAGTATGATTGGGGAAAATCGTCGGGTTGTAGCGGGGATGGTTGATGAGTGGCTATAGAAGAGTTGAGGAGGAAGTTTGTTGATGTTGATGCCAAAACCTCACGGCGTGCACGCCACTTGAATTCCCTGTCCACTTCTTAGTGCGGGACAATCATATCGCCATGGGGAACCGAAGACACGTAGAGTGAGGCAAGACTATGAAGTAATCAAAGAATAAGAAAATGGAGTTTGATATTAAACGTAACTGAATTACTCTCCAGGATCCTTTACATCGACTTTTGTTGTGATCGGACTGTGATGCTGCGATGGGTGGAAGAGCCAGGCTACCTTAACACTTTGAGACCACCACCGCAATTGTCGGTACCTCCCGCGATATTGTTAAGGTAGCAATCACGGGTTAGGGTTAGAAGAGTAACCCCTCTCTCCCGTCAGAAGCCCCGAAATGGCGCGGCCCGGGAGCGGACCCTTCTGGGGAGATCAACGTCATTCGTCTCGAGTTCACAATCCGCGACGACTTGATTTTCGATATCTGTAAGTGTAAATCCTCAGCTGCATTGGCCCGGAAGTCCTTTTGCATATTTCCTCTTTTTTCCAACCACTGCCGAATTTCCTGTTTCGGGCCTCTTCCGGACATTGAGAGCTGTGCAGCGGGTATTATCGGAGCTGCACCGGCGTGTCTTCCGCTCATCTGATTCCGCCACCTTTTAAGTGTCCTCTTCATAAGTGTGACTAAGACTACGACTATTTCTACACTATTCAAAATAATTTTTGGAACCGTTAACTAAATACCGAATCCCATCACTCACCAATCCCACCTTCAGGACTCATCGCAAATAAAAAATCGCCCATCATGATTGACATGGCCCTCGACCACGGCTCCCTCGAGCACATCCTCCCCGTTTCGTGGAAATCCCAAATAACGGCCTGGCTCGCTGAGGACACCCCTTCATTCGACGTCGGCGGTTTTGTTGTCGGCGACGCGCCTCGCACCGCCACTCTCTGGGGCAAGTCACAGGGCATCCTGGCCGGCGTGCCCTTTTTCGACGAAGTATTCAAGCAGTGCGGCTGCACCGTCGAGTGGCACGCGACCGAGGGCTGCCACGTCAGACCCACGGCGGAAAGAAGGCTTTGGCGACGGTGAGCGGACCCGCGCGCGGCCTGCTAGAGGGCGAGCGTGTGGCCCTCAACATCCTGGCCCGCTGCTCCGGCGTGGCCACACAGAGCCGGCACCTGCTGGTGAACCTGCGCAGTGCCGGATACAAGGGCATCGTGGCGGGTACTAGGAAGACCACGCCCGGATTCCGCCTTGTCGAGAAGTACGGCATGCTCGTCGGAGGAGCCGACACCCACCGCATGGATCTCAGCACGATGACCATGCTCAAGGACAACCATGTGTGGAGCCGCGGCAGCATTACCGAGGCTGTCAAGGCGGCCAAGGCGGCCGGTGGCTTCAGCCTTAAGATCGAGGTTGAGGTGCAGAGTGAGGAGGAGGCCGACGAGGCGATTGCTGCTGGTGCCGACATCATCATGCTGGACAACTTCACTGGTGAGGGTGTCAAGGTGGCGGCTCGCAGCCTGAAGGAGAGGTGGGCCGGCAAGAAGCAGTTCTTGCTTGAGGTTTCCGGTGGTTTGACTGCCGACAACGCTGAGTCCTACATTTGCCACGGTAAGTTCTCCAAGGATCATTCACGCGGAGCAATATGGCTGACATGACACCAGATATCGACATCCTTTCGACAAGCTCCATCCACCAAGGTGTGCCGCACGTTGACTTCTCGCTCAAGATCAACGTTGACAAGGGCAGCGGCCCCGAGGTTTCGAGCTGAAAGCCATGTACCGAGTTTTAGAGTGTATGAGTTGTTCCTACGACATTTTTAAGAGTCAAGCACGTAGTTATACCCGACGTTGGTGAGCTGGTTGTGATAGGCCAATTCGACCACTGTGCGTGGTGATACGAGGTTGGTGGAACTGGAGTCACACCGCAGAGAAGAACGCCAGCAGCGTGCCACCAACAACGCCATAGAAAAATGTATCAGTAATCACGCTGCATCTGGTGTGTCTGGCTTTCCATGTCAAGTATCTGGAATATTATTTTGTTCCCAATCCAGCTCAACCAGGATTGTGGCACGGTGAGTTATTGACCGTGCCCTGTGAGGTGCACCGTAAGTGCAGGGTAGGTGACAAATTTGGCCCTGCCCGAGAAGGATCACCCAGCTCCCATCTTGACTCGTAAGGCTGTGGTTGCCTGCCCTGTGCCTCCTGTGCCCCTGACTAGAAGCCCCGTGCCCCCACAATTCCCCGCTGTCAGAGATTGCGCAGCAACCCGACCCGACCGGTCAACGGCGATAAGAGGTCCCCGCTCCGTACCGGACCAGTCAGTCGGTGTGTCTTGTTCGTTTCGGGATCTGACAAACCGGCCAGTGGATGATGTAACCAAGTCCAGGCCCGACGTCCACTGTAACTTCAACTGGAGCCTCATCATCGCCCTTTCCACCAACATCGTTCAAATCTCATTTCATCATTGTTTGTGCTTCATTTTAAACTCAATCAAGGCGAAACAACACACAGCCTCATCCGAGTTACACATCTGTTCCTGCAACACATTGACCGTTTGCTCGTATCGCAATCTCTTATCGCCAAAAAAGCCGTCAAAATAGGCCGATACGGGAATCACGGCCTCAGCGCCAAAGGAAAACTCACAGACTACGACGACGACGACGACGACTTTGTCGGCTTTGACGATTTTGCCGTCGGCGGGAAAAACAACAAGAAACCCAAGAAGCTCAAAAAGCCGAAGAAGCCACGAAGGAAAATGGGTCAAGAATTTTCTGCCGTTCCTGAAACGACCAAGCCTGAGAACCTCTCAGAGCGCAGTCTGCCCGCGGTCGCCGACTACATCAAGTCCGGCAAAGCTAAAAAGGTTGTTGTCTTGACGGGCGCGGGTATTTCGACTGCTGCTGGCAGTAAGTTTTTTCTCACTCAATATTGCTAAGGAACCTTTAATTCTTTGCTTACCCGTATTTACAGTACCCGACTTCCGCTCTCCCGAGACTGGCCTCTACGCCAACTTGGCCGCCTTGGATCTTGAGGAGCCCGAAGATGTTTTCAGCTTGCCCTTCTTCAAGGAGAACCCAAAGCCATTCTACGTGCTCGCCAAGGACCTCTACCCTGGCAAATTCCATCCTACCATCTCACATGTCTTCATCAACCTCCTGGCCACCAAGGGCCTCCTCTACCAGCTCTTCACCCAAAACATTGACTGCCTGGAGCGCCGCGCCGGTGTCCCTGCCGACTTGATCGTAGAGGCCCATGGCAGCTTCGCTTCCCAGCGCTGCATCGACTGCAAGACGCCGTATCCCGACGATAAGATGCGCGAACATGTCAGCCGTGCCGAGGTCCCGCACTGCGAGAAGTGCAACGGTTCTAGTCAAGCCCGACATCGTCTTCTTCCATGAGAACCTTCCCTCCCTCTTCTTCGACAGGAGGCACATGGCTGAGGAAGCCGACCTCGTCCTCGTCCTCGGCACAAGCTTAACCGTCCACCCCTTCGCCGGTCTTCCCGACCTTGCCCCCTTCGAAGTGCCCCGCGTTTTGTTCAACATGGAGCGTGTGGGGTCTTTGGGATCCCAGCCCGATGACGTCCTGGTCCTCGGAGACTGCGACACTGGCGTGCGGAAGCTGGCTGACGCGCTTGGGTGGCGTGAGGAACTGGAGGCCGAGTGGAGGAAGCTGGTTGGAGACGAGGAGGCGGACAGGCAGTTGAAGGGCTCGGCGAAACGCGAGGTCGAAGATGAGGTCTCGCAACTGGTTCATGATGTCGACAAGGTGCTGCATGTGCATGATGTTAGCAGCGGCAGTTCTTCGCCTAGCCCCGAGGCTGTGGCGGCGAAGCAACAAAAGGAAACGCCTCCGACAACTCAGCAGCAAGTTCAGCAGAGCGGGCCGGCGGCTGTGGAGGAGAGTGTGGAGACGACAACGGGGACAGAGGAAGTCAAGCCTACCGGGGCCTGAGGAAAGGGAATGAACTGGCGCAGGCGCCACGAAAGAGATGGCTCATGTTGAGAACGGCATCGCCCCCTGCGGATTGAATATGGGCTATCGAAGGGGTTGGAAGAGGCCGTACGATACTAGCATCAGTGCATGATGGCGTTCGCAAGGTATGGGAATTGGGTATGAGAAAGGTCCGGGTGGCGAGTTGTCTCGCCTGTATCACGCTGTTTGTTTTTTTACTGTTGTTCACAATCAAGGATACTTGTCCATGGTGTTTGCCTATTATCACTCCTACTTCCATGTGCATCGTTTTCGCGTTATTTCATTGTTCGCTGATCAGGGTCTCCGCTCAGCAACCGCCGCATGCATAACGCCAGCACTTTTGCCCCAAGCACAACAGGACTGCTTATTTACCGGGACCACTCTGCATCGTTTATGCTCGCAGATGGTGTGTTTGAGGGATTAATTACTACACAGCTGCATCGTGAATGCGTTATGAGGAGAATGCATAACATGCGTCGCGCGATGTATAAGAATCCGCCTTCTCCTCTTTCAACTTCATCCGTCATCATGTTTGAGTTGAGGCTTGCTTTGAAAGCCAACACGAATCACACACAGCACGATTTTTGGCGCGGATTTGCGGCCTTAACGGCGCCTCAGAGACCCCGATGCTTTCATCCTCCAATCACCCTAGCGTGGCAGAAAACAGATACACCGACGTCTGGGAGGACACCGAATCGGACTCGTGCGGCAGCCCGTTGCCTGGCGTGATGAGCTTCTCTCGTCGGCCAACAACAGAATTCGGACGTCCTAAAGGAGGCATATCAGCTATCTCCAAACTTGTTGCAGCACAGAGGAAACAGGTCGCTCAGAATGCAAAACCTTCTCTCGTAACCGCGCTACTCAAGCCATCTCCAATCGTCGAACCGCTAGTCTCACCCACGACCACCAATGACCCCATAATCTTCCCGACCAACAGACCTGGTGGAACAAGGGTTAGCTGGGGCCTCGAGTCTCTTCGAAACTTTCAAGTCTTGGGAACATCGACCGTTCCCAATGTGCCCGTCTCTTCCGCACCCCAAGTTGCCGGAGCTTCTCCTGCCGACTCGACAGAGCCCTGCGAGGAGGATGTCCTTTCACCTTCGACTCCTCCCGCATCACTCGTCGTAGAATGTTTTGATCCCGAAGAATATCAGTATGGCCAAAAATACCGACCGAGCATCCCCGATCACCAACACCAATGGCATCCCATCCGCGAGGTCCAGCCGGTGTACTACGCCTTTCCCGCCTACTGCCCACAAGAGCAGCAGCTGCAGGAATTACTAATCTCGGCATCCCCTCTATTCAACAACTCGCCAATAACACCACGTGAGGAATGCTTCCACACCCGCAGTGACAACGCCATCGCCGGAATTTCCCCCGAAGCCGATACCGGAGTTAGCACCGAAGCCGTAACCATACCCGGAACCGCACCAGACACTCTTCCCCCGCCTCTCCTCCGTTCGCCACCCTTGCAGGCCTCACCCATCATGTCATGGATCGCTGACCCCAACGCTGACCCCGACGCTTATTACCCCGATCCAGCCACCTACCTCGACCCCGACCAAATCATCACCCCATCACCACCTGCAGCAACCTCACCGAAAACTGCAAGCTCCGCCTCCCTCTCTTACTGCACCCGTTGCGTCATACCCCTCACCTTCGCCATCTCGACTTCCTGTCTTGACCAAGACGAAGGTTGGGAATGCTGTAACTGCGCTGGTAAGAATTTGAAGTAGGAGTTTCATTGTTCTGGGTGTAGGGGGCATGGGAAGTGTGGGGAGTGCGAGCATGGAGATGCGAAATATAGGGGATGGAAGACAGGGCGGGAGGGTATTGGTAATGTGGTGATGGGCAGGAACTCGATTTTGAGGGAGTGGGTTGTGAAGGAGGAGGGGGAGGGGGGAGATAGGTTGGAAGGAAAGCGGCGAAGAGAGGGGGTGAGGGAGTGGGTTTACTACTGGTTTTGAGGCTGCTGTGGTTGGTGGTTGGAGAAGCTGGTAAATCGACCCGACGGCTCAAGAACCGGAGAATTGTTCTGCGACCGCGCCATATCTCTTTGAGATGTGTTGTGGATTGCTATGGTCGGGTATGTCAGCTTTATCAACAAGACCATGAATCCATGAGAGGAGCCTTGATTAGGTTGTTTTGGCCTACGTTCTTTGTTTGTGGAGAAGTTGTGCTGGAAACTGGACTGGACAAAGGGACTAACTGGATGTTGAAAGGAGAGAGATGTTGTAGCCGGTCTACATACATACACAGTCACTCGAGCAATAAGAACTCGTATTTGCTTGAATGACGATAGCGAACTTAACATATTCCCCGTTTGAAAGTCTTGAACTGTCCCTATCATCAGTGCATTTGTGATTCACAAACAAGAAAGTTTCATCCGCTACCAACACAGACCCAACACAACACAGTATGAAGGCTCTGTTCAGGCCTACCTCAGTAAGTTGGAAAACATTTTCGAAGGAGGTGGTGAGAAGCCTCTGGGCAATGGTCTGGTTGACGCACGCCTTCTCATCCTCGACCATGGTGACGTGATCATGTCCATTGGACACCATGCTCACCGGAGTCGAGGACTTTGTATATATGAGCCTTGGAAACATCGCCCGCTCTGATACAACCACCTTAAGCAGTCCTCTCTTCACATTCCTTCATCACACTCAAAATTTACTTACCTCGCTCCAAGACCCAAAGATTACCACGATCTCGATTCTCGACACCACTCCACTCCACCTACCTACCTGCTCAACAAAAAATGTCCTCAACCGGTTGGATCTGCTGCAACTGCCAAACCAGCAACTCTTCCTAGGGGCACTTGTGCTGGTATTGCAAGATCCACAGCAAATGCGACAAGTGTGACAAGGACTCATCGGGCGCGTCGTCCGTCGTGGCATCTGGGGCAGTCCGTTGGTTCGGCAGTCTACTACCTCTACCGGAGGTTCTTACGTGGCTTCTTCGAGTTCTACGTCCGGAGGAGGAGGAGGATGAGGAGGGCAAGGGTTGAGTTCTAGGGGGTTTCCTGGCCAGTGGGTTAGTGGTGGTGGGAAGACGACATCAAACAACAGGAAATGAAAGAGGGGGTGGTGCTGAAGAGGAATTGAGGAGAGGGTAGTGGTACTGAGGCAAGGAGAAATAATTGGGAAAATGCATGGTTGGTTGGTTGGTTGGCTTGGTAGATTGAAGAGGAAGGGGAATAAGTCCTTCAAGTTTTAGCTAAAGAGTCTACAAATAAAAGTTTCACGCGGGATGCACTTTCTGTTCGTAAAATTTTGCTCTTGGCTTCTAAACGCTCGAGACAGATTGCCAATGACGACGGTGTCTCTGTGTTAGCTCTGTGGATAACGGAGTTTTGCGGTCTTCAAGTAGTGGAGAACATGTTTACACAGTGATCAGGAGGCAATTGGGATAATAATAATAATAGGTATTTACCAAAGGAAAGGGGTTGGATTGAAGCTGGAAGCTATTTTACGTGGAGGAGGTGGATACGCCACAATCAATCGAGGTGGACAACTGGAAACATGACTATTGAGACTGTTTTAATGATTCAAGTATTGACGGATTTGATGAAATTTTCTTGCAGTCCTTGATCGTTGTTTGAAGAAACAATCCTTCGTCTCTATTAGATCATCTTTCTGTCAATCATACCTCTAGCGACCGTTCATCGGGTATCAAGTCGAGATGCCCAAACAGTACGTTGGGGGACTCCTCGGCCAGGCTTCAAGCTGCAAACGCTTCTAGATACGGTTGGAGAGACCACCGAGCAGTTGGCTGACACACTCCAGCCCAACCGTTAACAACCATGATTTGACGATGAAGATAAATCAATGTGTTCTGGCATTGACGACCATGTATATATCACCCATGAATTCCCCTTCCTTTCTGCAACCTAATCACCCCCGATCTTCATCGTACATCACTCTCCAGCTCTGGTATCCATAACTCTTCACCTCTACAACACCAAGTTTCTTTACCGCGACAAAATCCCAAACCGGAGTTGAGCAGTAAAGTCGACGGTCACCAACCCATCAAGAAAGAAGAAAGAAGAAAGGATCTCGAATCAAAATGGCCTGGGAATGCTTCAACGGCAAGACCGACAACACAGATTTGGAAAAGCTGTGCTGGTTCTGCAAGACCCATTCCAAATGCGACGACTGCAATTAGAGGTATCAACGGCAACGGCGAAGGCGCAGGGTGGCAAGACATGACGCGTACCGCCGCTAATGATGGGGTGAGAACATGAGTTTTGGTTCCGGTGGACATGAGAGACGCCCGTGCAGGAAGGAACAGGCAGGAAGCATGGAAGCAATGGTGGGGTAGGAGCGATGTGTTTTGAGTCTGCAAGTCTTGAGAGGAAGGAGGAGGGAAGGAATCAGTTGAAGGGAAGGTGAAAGGGGAAGGAGCGTACGCTCGCTGTTTCACCATCGGACTGTACAGTCGGGAGAAAATCTGGGATTCGAAGAAGCGTCACCGTGGTGAAGACTGCAGGAAGTTGCTACTGGTATGGTTCCTTGCACTTTGGGCACGGCGGGATAAAGATGGGAAAGTTTGTGAATCAAAAAGAAGGGCGGAATGTTCTGACATTTGAGATGGGCTCTCTGGTCGATGGCCGGCATGATCGAGGTAGGGAAAAAGAAATACCATTATGCGGCTTGGACCGTCAACACGTGAATGTAGAGCTGCAGAGAAAATTTTTGGAGCATTTGTGAACTGTTTGTTTCAACAGAAACACAGTCGGTAAGGTAGGTTGGGACAAGGGAAGAGAGGACTCGAGAGTATTGCTGAATATTTCATCCATAGTCCAATTCCTGCATGTGAAGAAGTCTTTCTCGGAGCCTTGCTGCGTGTCCATATTACATGTACGAGGTTGCACATGTGCCGGAATTTGACTCAGAGAGTAGTTCCGGTATTATTCCCACCAGCCTCATTGGACATGCACCTGGATGGAAAGGAAACAAGGAAGATCTTGGACACTCATGCAAGACCCATACCTGCATGGACGCAGAAAAGAGCTCTCGGATATTTTCTTTCAAGAACTAGTATAAATACCTCCCATCCCATTATTGAAGCATATGTTCTCTTCTTCCTGAACATTTATCCATCTCCACGATGTTCGTCTAACAACATCTCGCAATTTTAACCTGGCCACCATCCTGTCTTCACGGAACTCGATAAACATCCCCCTCAACTCCTATCACACGACAAACATTGCTTCTACCCAACAAAGCAGAGCTTGCCTTCTGAGAAAAGTTAGTGTGAAGCCAGTTTGCCAACATATGTCTAAAGTTCTGACGATTTCATTGTAGGAGAATACCATGGATCAACACATTTCCACTCTCACTACCAAAGTGACGCAAGCCAACATAACAATACGGCCACATAACGGGAAGCGCTCAAGGAAGATACCGATACCTGATAAGGAGTTCATTTTCGCCATGAGGCGTCTCAAAAGTAACGACGAGTACCCCACCGTTTGGGAAGAGGAAGGTGAAGAAATGCATGATAGCGGTTGCGACATTTCAGACAAGCCCCAGTCCCTTCTGACTGAGGGACCACGGAAGCAAAGAAAAAATTCTATTGCCCATAAGCTTGGACCTACCCTTCCAAGTGGCCAGATCAAGACGAGAGAGAGAGACGCTTGTGCTACCACCGCAGCCATTATCAACAAGCATGGAGAGCCGGAAGCCAAAAAGACACTGAGGCAGAATGCATCGACTGCCATCGCTCCAGTGCATGTCATGGCGATTATCACCAAATCCAACCCGACAAAGCCCATATTGAATAGGAAGGTCAACACTTATGGACAGTCAGACTTGAAAAGTCGACTTTTGTCGGAACAAATCAGGTTCATCGACCGCAAGATGGGTTGGACAGGTCCGTTCACATCACATAATCGGAAAACTTCATTGAGCTGGCACTGGCCATCTTCCGCTCTCCAGATCAAGGCAAAAACATCTCTGCAAGACGTGCTGCAGAATGACCAGAACAAAAGAGCAGCCTCATCTTCACCATCCACAGATTCCAAGAAGAAGGAGACCGAATACGTACCTGCCGATGACTCGGACAACAAATGGTTCAACCTTCCCGGTCAAATCTGGAATACCACCACCATATTCCTCACCAACACCGTCGAGAAGCACCTCCCTTTCTACGCGTCCCCCAAGGAGAAACAGTGGCAGGAAGCAACGCGAATGTGGAAAGAGGAGGATACCAACAAACGCACGACCGCCCCCAGCGTAACCAGAACTGAACAGGAACGCCGAGAAGCCCCACTATCACATCTCTCACAACACCACACCTTGGCTGCGCAACGAGTGATACACCCAGAAGGAAGTTTCGGCGAGGGAGAAAAGCTAAGGGTAGAAGGGAAGCCAACTCCTTGCTCCTGGCGGAACATGCCTTACGCAAAGGCTCTTGGTTGGTTATATGCTCCGTATACCACTCCCTGGCGCTAAACGGGAAGTGGTTCTCTGAATGCCCTCGCAACGGAGAATCGGGGGCTCGTTTATCAACCTGGTGCATCCCACAGCGAAGGAAAGAAGGAAAGAAGGAAAGGAGGAAAGGAGGAAAACACGAACGGACCATGGTCGTCAAGAAAACGGCAGCACTCATTCGACACACACGGACAGCACGACACCGGCGGAGAAGAAGAAGTACATAGCAGGAAATGGGAAGCAGGATATGGGAAACGAAACAGGGCGTCAGGAATTTTGGGCGAAAAAATCACTTTCCTACCAACGTCACGGCTTCTTTCGGCAATTTTGGGGTTTTGTTAGGTAGACCTGGGAGGTTTGAACTTTGAGGAGAGGCTCTTCAACAGGGAAACATGGTTTGTGATTTGAAGATTGGTCATCAGCGCAGCATCTGGGAGGAATTGGATATGGGAAAGGTTGGATATCGAGATACTTGGAGGAGGATGGAGGATTCAGTTTGGATTTCAAACCACAAGGCATTTTGGAAAATGAAACCAGGAAAATTTTCAGATCCGTTGAACAATGAATGAAGTTTGAATCTGAAACTATCAACACCGATTATGTTCTCCTTTGGACATGGTACTGTGGAAGGTGCAGTGATTAAAGCAACTCTCAAATCTCCAACAGGTTGGCGAAAATGCGAAGTGGCGATGAAACAGGGACAAATTCTGAGCATGCGACAACAGCTCGAAAACGCAGGTAAAAGTCCATGCTAAAGCAGACATTTTGAGATGAGATCTATTAATATATCTTCGTCTTATCATGTCTGTTTTTCTGGATATGCATGCAAGTTATGCCCGAGTGTCCTGCAACCCTTTCTTTACTGCTCCGTCCGCATTCGGTAATACGTAACTTACGCCTCGTAATTACGACCTACCCAAGCCTCCCGCCCTCGCGCTTGCCAGCTTGTAGCCAACACCGGTCCCTCCTCGTCCAGAAAAAAGCTTCTTCTCTGGACACAATCACCAGCTTCAAGGCAATCACAGAGTGTTTGGAATTCCTAACGAGAGTCTATCTGCCATGAAGGACCCGAGGTTGTTCCAGCTGGATATAAAAGTAGCTAGCTCTGATTTGACCGTAGATACTGGTGCCTGTAAGGTAATTATACTTAAGGTACTTACCACCACCACCGCCGTCCAGCCACTGCAGCCTGCACACCTCTTCCCGTCGTCGAACATCGGACGAAACTCACCACCTTACACTTCCCGCATACCTTCCAAGACTGCCTGAACCAGGGCACAGGTACCTTACCCGTGGCAGCCCCAGGCACCATATAAGGCCCGTAGCCTAGCCCCTCTACCACAACGGGGAGCCCTGCAGTCACCGATGCCCCTACGGGTGGTCTTATGGCGCAGTGGTTATCGTTGATGAAAACTTGCGTGTGGCAAGTTTTCGTAAAGTTGCAGCTGGCGGATTGTCGTTCGTTCTACAAGCGTATCTGGGTGACTTAGCTTTTTGCATTTTCCAATCGATCTAGCAAGTATGGGAAATGTCGGAAATGATGTCCATTCCTTTTTCTGATTTATTTTGGGGGTTTAAAGGCAGTTTATTGTTTGGGTGGTCGGTGATTGTGATGTTCGCATGGATCACTGATGTCCGTCGCTTTCTGAAAATCTCCGTTCAGGTGCTGCAAGACTTGCAGTCCGAATCATGGCAATGCGTGTCCAACTCCTTCACAATCCGCAACCTACTGCAAATCCCTCTTCCTCTCCCAATTTTCCTGCATCAACCTAAAGAACGGAGCTACAAACGGGCCAGCGTTCACCAGTAATGAGAGCTTTGAAATCAAAACATCCGACGGTCCGAAGACCACAACAATAACTATGATTCAAACAAAAGGGTATTATGTACCAAAAAATCGCCAGCCCAAAATTACACCTAACTCCCAAGTCCCTCCCATAGTTATGTCACCTACTATCCCTTACACCTCCTTCGCCCTTCCAGGTTATTATGTCCCACTATCAATCTGATCAACAACCTTAATCTGGCTCCACGCGTCCCACTCCCCACACACCTGCTCCATCTTCCTGGGCTTCCCTAGTCCTCCCCATCGTCTCTCTATCTCCTCCGGCTGAGTCACAAAACTCGAAAAGAACCCCGCCGACGCATGCCACGCAATATGGCAATGGAAAGCCCACACGCCGGGGTTCGTCGCATCAAACTGCAGCACCAAGTGTCCACTCGGCCTCACAATCTCCACATCTCGTCTTACGGGGTTCCTTGGGCGGGTGATGGTCTTGCCATCCCAGTTGCCCGGGCCAGACGACAAGACGTAGAAGTTGTGTCCGTGGAGGTGCATCGGGTGCGGCCCCGGGCCGTGGTGATTCACCACGATCCTGATCGTTTTGGCGTCGCCAAAATCCCGGACGTTCCACACCTCGGGGAAACTCAGATTTCCCCTTGTAACCATGTCCAAAGCCGGGTGGTTGTAATCTACCCGGGAACTGACGGCGTCGAACTTGAAAAGGAAGATATCCGACGCGTTTCGGTAGGCTTCGATCTTCATCTCCTTCGTCACAGCCGGGGTTTCGGTGACGGGAATAGGGTAAAGCGGTTCCCTGGTGTCCAAGTCGTCGCTTGCGCCGCAGTTCCTGTTCGGATCCCCCGCGTCTGCCCATGGCCGGCTGGCTGGTTGAGAGTCGGGGTCGGCTTGGTCGTAGTAAACGGCTGCTAGAGCGAGAGGCTGCTTGGAGGCTGAGCATCTGGTTAGATCGGAGCGCATCCAGAAGGCGGATTGGGGAGTTCCCGCGTTGGCGGTGACGAGAACATCGGCGCGCTGACCGACCGCGAGCGAGATGGCTGTAACGTTGTAAGGCTTGACGGGGACGAAATCGTTTGCAATGACGGTCATGGTATGTCCGTCGATGGAGAAGCGCTGGACGCCGTCGGCGCCGGAGTTGACGAGCCGCAGCCGGTGCGTCTTTCCGGTTTGGAACTTGAACTTGGCGATACCTGCGTTGGGCGTGCAGGGGGTCTTGTCGCCTGCGGCGGCAGCGGCGGCGCAATCAAAGTTCATCTTGCCGTTGATGAGGTTGTTGTCCGAGGGCACGCGGGGCGAGCCGCCGGGGGCGAGCATGTCCTTGATCAGATCAAAGTAAGGGCGGTGGTACCAGTCGGAGAGCATGACGGGGCCGAGATCGATGTCGTACTTGGTCTGGGTAGGGCCGTGGACGACAATGGGGCCGACGATGCCGCCGGCGTATTGCGCCGAGTAGTGGGCGTGGTACCAGGATGTGCCGTAGAGGCTTGCTTTGAACTCGTAGGTGTATGACTTGCCGGGAGCGATGGGACATTGAGAGACACCGGGTGCGCCGTCGTCCCAGGGGGTATCTTGATGGAGGAAACCGTGCCAGTGGATGGATGTGCCCTCCTCCGGAGAAGAGATGTTGTTGAAGACGTTGACAACGATCTTATCACCCCAGTTTGCTTCGATCAGGGGGGCGGGAAAGGCGCCGTTGACCAGCAAGACGTCCCTTTGGTATCCATCTGGTGCAATGACTCCTCGGCTGATGACAAAGTCGTAGGTTCTCACTGCTCCTGTTATGGGACACTCGGTGTATTGATTGTTGCCCCAGTCTGTTAGGTTTCCCCACGGATATTGCCCATCTGGTGTTAGGTTGCCCAAGAAGAAGGCTAGTAATGGAAACAGAAATGTCCCTAGTCGTGATGAACTAGAACGAGATGTTAGCGGTACTCTTACTCTTACAACGTTTCGAAAGGAGTGAAGACCTACCCATTTGTTTTCTCTTGGACCAGGTTCGCAACAACGCCTGATAGTTTAGAGCCGACCTCTACTATGGCGCGTCCTATTACGCCCATGATGAGTGTTATGAGAAGAAAGGAGGGTTTGGGTTTGGGTGTCATAAAAAGAACCCGCCTTCCTCGACAACGAAGAACTACATCGTCCCTACTTATACAAAACCCCCTTGGGAGAGATTACAACCGCAAGGAGCCTACCGCTTCGGGTCCATGACACAATGCTCACCACATGCGGCCCATGGCTGACCTGGTAAAAGCACCCCGTTGTGACTGGCACACCGGGGAGAGAGATAAAAGAAGAAAACGCAGGGGTAGAAAGAGATCGCAGATGCGGTTTCAGTATTGACCCACACTACCTAAATCGACATCTTCCCGTCTCTGTCTCTGTTGCCCTTGTCGATGCTAATGTACACATCATCCCTGAGGGTGATGACGATGCGGTCTACCAAAGGGAATCTCGTCAGGTACCGCCCACCCAAGATCCAGCGTGGAAACTACATAGATTAGGTAAGTAATGTCCACCTCGTCGGAGTAATAAAGATCAGCATTGCCCTTAAGCCATGTCACATGCGGTTATGGAGCTTGATGAGCTGTCGAGCTCAGCTGGACCAGCAAGCATAGTAAGTCGGTGAGCACTAAGGCCAAGCTTGTTCTCGGCCATCGGATTTTGCGGGACGAAAGGTCTTGAGTAATTCGGTCTGTTCACCGCCAGGGATGGGAAACCGAGAGACACCAGCTGGGTAGAGTGAAGACAGCACAATGGAGAGGTCCACCGCTAAAGTAGTTGCAAGGCGGCAGGTTGGCCAAAACACCGGGCAGAACCACGAAGGGGTCACCGAAGCTGTGATCCGGGAGTCTGGGGTAAGCGCTAGCGTTGAGATCGCCGCCCCACAGCGGCTGAACTAGACCGCTGACGGAACCGCAGTCCAGCGTCCTCTAGGTGGGCAGACATTGAATTGTCAACGGTGCGATTGGTACAGCTCCTGGCTTTCGATGTTCGTAAGACGCGAAATGGCGAGCATTTAGTGAACGCATGAGGAATACTGGAAGTGATGAAAGGGAGCAAGCCATAAAAAGATGTAGTACTGAGTTGTTTCTCGTAAAGCCTGGCGACTTTGAGGGAGAGTCGATATGAACCACTCAGTATCGTGAGCCTTCAGTAGTCGATCATGCATTCAACCTCCTCGAAAGTGAAGAGACTATACCAAGATGTCAACGCCCCGGAAACGTACTGTGGAGTCTCCCACGGGTTTGATATGTTCCTCTAAAGTCGAAAGTGCACATGCACCTAGACTCTGATGCAAGGGGGTCGTTGGAGGCTCAATCACAACTAGGATCGCCGGTGCAGGACGCAAGAAACTGATGAAACAGAACACAGCACGGGAAAATGGAAAGGCTGTGGACAACCACGGAAATCCAAAGTATGGCTACGGATGCTGCCGAAACAAAGGGAAACTGTCCGGTCTAGACCCATCAGCCAAAGCGAGTGAACCAACGAAATGTGATGGGCTTTGGTCTCTTTGCTTGAAGAGAGAGGCGAAGTGTTGCTAGGTAGAAAGGTCCGGAACACGGCCGAATGTGTGCAGATGACACAAAACCCAGGAACCAATCCCGTTAAGACCGTGCCGTGTATAGAGGTAGGTACATCGTCTCGGAACGAATCTGAGAATCTTTGCATGAGCATATCTTGCGGTTTTCGAGCTGCTACTGTTATCGATATCCCATACAGTCGCAATGATGATTTTTCTTCAAGATTTTCTTCCGAGTCTGGGTCTCCGTCGGTGACTTGGCGATGTTCAGGGAGCAGACCATTCTCAAGGAGTGGTCGTTTAAAATTGCAAGTGTGACGAATTTCTGGAGTTGCATGTAATTGTCTCGGGCCGTAATAAGGTGACTTGTGGGCATCGATTATTTGACCGTCTTCAACCATAGTGTGAAGTTTTTGAGCGCTTATCTTGTTTCGCATAATATGGCTGTTGTCGAACTCCCCGTCGAGCAAAGATGACATGCTATCCAGGGATGATGCTGTACCACAGCCGAAGAGCCTCATCATGCCGGTCGGCTTGCACAGCATGTCATGGGTAAGGCTGACCTGTTTCCCATAAAGGTTAGCAAACACCTGCTGAACGTGAGCGCTAAAGCCACAACCATCCTTCTCGGATTATAGCCCGTCAAACGTCGTGTCAGATGCAAGAGGGCGCAAACTGCTCCGCCAATGATCAGAATTTCTGTGAATTTTGAACAAACCCCCAAGACGCCGTATCCACAGTCGCTCTCGCGGGCGACCCTGTTATTTACACATAAAGTACAGCAAATGGTGCCTCCTGCGTGGACGTTTAGTCGGAGCGGGTCGGGTAGTAGGCGGGGCGGAAGGCCTGGGCAGCCATGATCATGGGCCTCCTCTGGGCGCGATAATAGGCCTCAGCGACAATGGGGGAGGAGTCGGAACGAATGACGCTGCCGATGGACATGAAGAAGCTGGAAGGACGATGGTGTCAGTGCTAAGGTCTAGATTAATGGAGAGGTTCTGATCCGAGGATTTCTTACCCGAAAGTAGCGCCCGAACCGAGCATGTACTGGCCCAATGTCCTCATGATGCCGTTGGGGCCGGCACCATATCTGAAGATGTTGACAGTTCCTGGAGAGTCGCGCGCGTCAGGACATGCCTGTAAGTCAAAAATCGAAGCATTGGGCGATGGGCATACCGAAGATGAAGCCAATGATGCAGCCGACAGCTATAATCGCGAAAGGTTAGCGACTTTAACGCAGATCACTAGGAAGGGAGGATAAGACGTACTGCCGCCCATCATGGCACCCATCTTGACTGCGAGGATGGCATCATGTTAGCAGGCTCCTTGTTGTTTCTGTTATCGCAAACCCCTCTTGGGTTGTTGCCGCGGAGTCAGCCCATACACTTGTCAAAGTTGGAGGGCCCAACGGCACCACCATGCTGAGGAGGAATGGCAGGCATCTTGGTAATTGGTGGTATGGGATTGACGACAAAGCTAATTGCGGCCAAAGGAACTGCCAGAGCTATTGCGCTTGCGATCTCGAGAAGTGGGAGGAATTCCGCGATAGAGCTGGTTGCCGTGGGCAATTGCAAAAGGCGATGCACGGACCTCAGACGATCCTGGGGTTTGAACGACGACCCCACCCCCAACAGCCTTGTCCGCCGGGAGAAATTGGTAAGTGCTATAGGCAGCATTCTATGGTGATAAGGTCATATGAATGCATGTCACACGGTTTTGATCAAGCGTAAGTCCTCCCAAACCTCGAAGAAGTACATGGGTCTCCGTAGAATGTCTTCTTGAATCAATCGTACTGTATTATGATTATTTAGAACTTCCTTAACTCATCGTCGTGGCCAATTGCTGCTGTACTCTTCCCGAAAGCTTTAACACTTGGCATCTGAAGCTCTAACAAAAGAGACTCTCCCTCAACCTCGCCAAGGCGGGGATCATGGAATCTCTTCAAGGCTTTGGAACGTCCAGACGCTCGGGCCAACAACCTCGGCGTTGCCCGTCAAACTAGTCCCCTGGGCCGGCGACGTGCCATCGTCAACCCATTTCATATCCGTTCCAATTCCCCTTTACAGGCATTTCTCACGTGATAGGTCATTCCTGCTGGAGTTGGTAACAGACTGACAGTCGGCGAAAGTCAAAACCTCGTCTCTTCCTGATCTCGTTGGTGCTCTCTACCTTTTCTGAAAGAAGGAATCTCACCGGCACATATCATTCTATTCTAGCCCCTGGCGGTTGACCTGCACAAACCGCACCCTATTCCCATACAAACACTGTATCGTATATACAGGACACCGTAAGCAGTGGCTGCCGCTGCCTTCTTCAACTGGACCGCATCAAAAGAACCAAGGAATCAAACAGGACGAACCAGAGAGGTAAGAGCAAGCTTGTCATTCGAGCGAAGCAATCGGAGGCCCCCTATCGCTTTGTGGGAAGAACCAAGGACGCTCTCCATCCAGATCTTCCATCTCAACAAGGCAAAGGGACCAAAGCAACGGAACGTTGAGATTGTCTTTCTGTCACTTCCGCGCGTGCCTACCACTGCAGAAGCCAGCGTCCACTGGTCAGAGGCACAGCGGCAGTGCAGTCAAAGGCCCAATCGTGAGGAACGGGCGAGTCCTGTTTGGGATTTGGTGGGAAAGTTTAGTTGAGCCAGCTGCACGCATGGACCATCATGTGGCACGGGCGTGCTTTATCCCCCTGCTCGTAAGCGCTTGAGGTCACGGTTCGTTCCTCTCCAAGGCAACGCCAGGACTTCTGGAAACGTGAGTCGCCTCAAATTCTTGTTCAACCTCATTGATTTTATACTATTGCCCGTCGCGTCTCGAAAAACGTGCTTGCCATTTTGAACATCTCCCCTCGAAATCGCCGTCATCAGCTTACAATTACTTGATACCTAGGTATGCTGCTTCTCGCTTGCTCCTTACTTAGCACAACATCACGATCGCCTCTCGACCCAGTGGCTGCCCCTCCACCAACAAGGGCGCGAAGTTACCAAAGAGCAGTGCGCACTCCTAACTCGACAGTCGTCGGTGGCCATTGTCCACTTGTCCAGAGTCCACCTTGGAACCCCCGAATCCCTGCGCCAAATGTTCGACGTCACGGCCAGATTACCGCCGCGTGCTAAGTAACATTACCTTTTTTAACTGACCCTTTTGCTTTCAACCCCTATAGTTGCCAACAACCCGTCCGAACTGGCCAGAACCCACCCGCCCCGCGCTCCGTTCAATTAGATAGTCTTTGTCGTTGCCGTCAATAGTTGGTGCAGGTAGATTACCAGGTCAGAAAGAGAAGAAAAAGAAGTCGCATGAGTTAGGTCGAGCCTGCACAAAGGTCGCCAGCAACAGCGAGTTCGAGCCCGCGCGCCTGCTCCCGCTCCCCGTTTCCAGCTTTCAGCAAAAAAAAGCAGGAGGACAGTCTGTTGCAACTTCCACTTGCAAAGGAACAATCTCAAGAGAACCCCAGCGTCGACGGCAGCGACTACACTAGCGACCAGCGACACCACAACTGCTGCTTTTCCATCCCAGCACCCACGGCCCGTATCCACTTCGCTCCATTCCCCCAGAGCCCCGTCCACCACGCCCAGAGGTCTCAATGACGGCTGTCGCGAATCCCCCTAGCTTCGCAAATCTCAATCGGCCGGGATGGACTGATGGCGGCCAATCGCTAAACTCGATGAACCCCGACGACAATAGAATGAACATGTTCATGTCGCGAAAATCTCTGCAACGATCCAATTCGTCGTCGTCGATTTCGTCGACGGCGTCCTCCTCGTCCACCTCCACCGTGACCTCGACCGGCTCCGTCTCGACTGCGCCGACCAACGGCAGCCCCAGCAGCACCACCAGCAGCGGGAACGGAAACGGCAACCCCATGTCGGTCGGTGGAGACACCGCGCCTTGGTCGAACTCACAAGCTCTGCGCAAGAAAGCGCAACCAAAAAACAACACCAACACCAACTCATGGACTAATGCCAGGCCAGAAGGAGCGTCCGACTTTTCACGCTCAGCAACAGGCCGCCCGCCCATGGCGAATGGCGTCAACGGCGCGCCTCCAACTATGCACCACCAACAACAGCAGCCATCATCACAACCCCAGCCCCAGCAACAACCGCAGTCCGCCTTGTCGGCGCCGAACCAGATGATGTCACAAAACAACATCTCGAGGCCAGGCGCCGACCAAATGGCTCCCCAACGCCTGCCCGTGCTGTCGCTGCTGTCGCTCAATGGCACCTTCGAACGCAAGACCATCTCCGTCCCCTTTTACCCCGACATTATGAAAATCGGCCGACAGACGAATGCGAAAACCGTCCCTCTCCCTACCAACGGCTTCTTCGACAGCAAGGTGTTGTCGCGTCAGCACGCCGAGATCTGGGCCAACCAGGACGGCAAGATATATATCAAGGATGTCAAGTCATCGAACGGCACCTTCGTCAATGGCAACCGCCTGTCGCCAGAAAATCGCGAGTCGGAACCCCACGAGCTCCAGTCCCAAGACCATCTCGAACTTGGTATCGATATTGTTAGCGAGGATCAGAAGACGGTAGTTCACCACAAGGTCGCCGCCAAAGTCGAACATGCCGGATTCGTTACCCAAACAAATAACCTCTTGGACATGAACTTTGGCGATCTCGATCCTTCAAATGGCGGCATGATGATGCCCATGGGCGGCATGCCTCCCTTCCGCGGTCGAGCTGGCAGCGCAGCATCGCTAGCAAGCAACGGGCGTATGATGCCTGGAAATATGGGCGGTCCGATACCCGGTCTGGCGCAGCAGAGGCAGTTTTGGCTGAACCCTGTCACGACTGAACATATTGTCAAAAAGCTTCAGGTTAGTACAAGTCTTTGCACGTGGTTCCTGATTCATCTGCTCACACTACGAAAGACGGAAATGCGAAATGCCAAGCTGCAGCACCACGACCTTATCCGAACGGGACAGTTCATCACCGCCTTGGTCACCAAGGACGACATCAAGAACCAAGAGAAGCCCGATGGCATCGAGCCTCCCAAACCGCATGTAAATGGCAACGTCCCCTTCAAATCGGATAACAGCAAAACCCGGTTCTCGGAGCCCCCTGCTCCTCCACCATCACAGCCTGTCCCCGAAGTGCCGAGTGTTGCTCGCGCTTCAGATGCGCCTTCGCTAAAACGAGGAATCACCGAGCGACCCAAATCACACCCTTTCCCCAAGGATGCGAACGTTAATCAAGTTATGCAACTTACGGAGGCTTTGAACATGGCAAAGAATGAGCTGGACAGTAACAGTGCTCGGGTGCGAGATCTGGAAAGGATGCTTAACGAGGAACGTGAAGCCAGGTTACAGGCGGAAATTTTGATGCAAAAGATGGCAGTAAGCCAGCAAGCAGTAACGAATGGTACAAGTGTGGCAGCTTTGACCAACGGCCACTCAGAGCTGGAGAAGGCTTTTGAGCCACCGACGGAGCAGTCTCAGGCAAACAACTCGAGCGCACTCGGCGGTGTTGAACCCAAAAAGAGCTCCAAGCCGGAAACTAGCAACATCGAGGCCATGGCAGCAGCTTTCCAGGCTCGGATCGAGTCGATGACGACGGAGATGAAGGGGCTTAGGGAGCAGCTAGAAGCTTTTAGGAACAGGGCTGAGCAGGCAGAGGCAGAGCGAGATGCTGACCGCAAGACTCTCAGTCAGTTGATTTTGCAAATACGCCAGCGGGATGAGAAGGAGCAGCAAGCCGCGGCGCGCAAGTCGCGTTCGTCCTCCCGCGGTAGATCACGCCAGGGCAAGCAGGAGAAGGAGGCTGAGCAGGCGTTGCCCAAGGCCAATGGTGCTGCAGTGACCGGACCCACCCAGTCCGATGGTTCCTCCGAGGATCAGGCTGAGGAGGTGCCCAGTCTGGCGCTGACGGACACGTTGAAACCGTCGTCCTCGTCCGCGCTAGTATACCCGCACCAGGATCGTGCGTTGATACAGGCCATGCCCTACGTATCCGTTCTTGGAGTTGTACTCATCGGCATGGGTATGATGGCTTACCTCAATGGGTGGCAGCCGCAGGCGAAGAACTAGGGCAGACCGGTACTCACTCACACTACCACATCCCACACACACATCTACGCACGCACACCGTATCTTCAATCTCCTTTGTACAGTTTATAGGAACTTTTTATACCTGAAGACTACTTCTCATCACGTTTCTTGCACATGCACTTCAGTCTCTGTCTTTCTCATACCACATGTATTATGCAATCCGAACCCAGGCGGTAGGGCTTTTTGACAGAAAATCACCAGGAGTTTTAAGTGATAAGGCAGCTGGGCTAGCGTGGTTTAAAACATAAGATGCTTCAATAGGGCCCTACCTTCGCTTTCCCGTCACTTTATCTTGGTTTCCTCATCTTGCTCTCCTTTCGAGCTAGCTTTCGTTCCTATGCTTTACCTTTCCTTCTTCTTAACAAATACTACTTCATCAAATCAACAACGGGCTGAGAACTGTTACGAATGTTCTGGGGGTTATTTGTCTTCCGGACGGTTTGCAATTACACAAGCGGCGACTCTTGGTTTTTCTGAGTTTTACAGTTACAGCAGTACAATAGCAGGGTAGCATTGCGATCACAGTCGGTGGTGGGTTGAGAGAGGGGGGCTTGTATGTATGTATCACAACACGGGACGGGAAGAAGCTTTTAGTAGTCGTTGGGAAGCAGGAGGCCTTGGTGTATGGTGCGGAAAAGAAATAAACGAAGCGCAAAGCATGGCTTTCCGTCCACTGTTATTGAAGTGATCATTTCTTTACCAACCAACGCCTTTGAGTTGGGCCGAGAGTTGACGAGCATGAACGGAGTGACTGACCCAGCTGATAAGAGAACAGTTGAGTGAGAAGCACTGACCAACATGATCTCACCCACACTGATCAATAAAATGGGTGACCACAGGCACTGACCACCCAAAGTTCACACACACCATTGCGTTTCCTAGGAATCAAGCATCACGCGGCAGGGGAAACATGGGCACCATCAACAACAGCCAAGATAAAACATCAAGCAAAGGTTGGTGGGTGGTGACAACGTGTGTCACAGCTGATCAATGCACTCTACATTTTGTCGCAGTTCGATGGTGGTGGGTGCACGATAACGCTCAGTCCGGCTGCCGGTAATTTTGGGTCACGACAGCGGGTTTGTATGACCCTGAGGTGATTCGCTTGGCGAAACGTTAGGTATTTACGTATGGAAAGTTACGGAGAGCAGGATACCAAAAGTGACGAGCGACACTCGCGCATTTACTGTCATTCATAGGTTTCACAAAGGTTTGATTGCGTATCTTGCCATTGGTACTAATTGCATTATCAGTTCCTTTACCCTATAATTTATAGGAATATTAGGTGGAATATCAAATGTTAAGTGTCCCAATACCTCTCTCCCTTCCTCTCGCCGAAATGCATCCCTATGTAAACGTACGTAATGACATTTCCTACCCTTCTCCACCAAGTCCCTGCCAACTCCCGCTGGTATAAATGCATAGCAGCATAGAAGTAGGTAAAGTGAAGCACGAAATAAAACGCCGTGTTTTTACCTTCTCTGTCGATGTCAAATGACATTTTTATTTCATTGTGCACAATTTGCCCATCCATATGCAGAAGCACCTGCCTACCAGGCATATATGCCTGCCTGGTCTATTCGTCGTCATCAATCCGATCGAGCTTCTCCTTCTTCCCTGCCAACTCCGCCCAAGCGTCTCATGACCTGCAGGAGAACCATGGAATGGAACAAATAGGCTATCGATCCGTGCGGGCTGGCACTGACACACGCGCTCTGCTCGCACCACAGCTCCCAGAGGTCGATGCCTAGTCTGGTCTGCCTGTCGGTTACCAGCCTTCTCGCTTGGTCGAGAAGACTGATGTTGGGATTCGGATCCCAATCTGTGAATAAGAAGAAAAGACGTCAGCTAATAACCGGCATGGACGTTGCTGAAGAGAAGACCATTTGGCCTGGTGAAATGCCGATGAGGGAAGGAGAATTCGATTTGACTTACCGCGAGGGAAGCAGATATGCCTGAGGGAGCATTAGTATGTTACTGGGAACCTGTGGCTAGGTAATGGTTGATTGGAATGCGTGGAATGCTTACGGCATGGTTTTTTTTTTTATGTTTGTTTGCTGCTAAGGTGACTGGCTTTTCTTGTCTGTGATGATGTGAGAATGTTGGCGACTGTGATAAATACAAAAAGGCTAAGTTATGTCGCGGTGCAGAGGGATTTATGGAACAGAGAAAGGGAAGGAATGACAATTAAATAGCGCAGGGCTCTGGGACGTCGGAGCGAGTGAAGCATCTAGGGCGGTAAGGTTTGGCTGTCTCGCCGAAAACCTTGGGTGTTTTCCCCCTTCACTGCGCATTTCTTGTTATCCGTACCAAATGTGGTCAAGGTTTGCGAAGCCAGGCAAAATGAAGAGAGGATGGAGCAGAAACAGAAGTGAGACTAGAGATCAGCGAGACCGAAGCAATTTTCGAGCAGAGTAGACGAAGCAAAGAACGCAGTGAAGGGGAAAAGGTAATCCACAAACGAGCAAAGGTTCAATCCATATTGTACCAGAAAAAGAGACTATGACTAACCAGAAGCCTCCATTATGCGCGATGCAGGTTTGTTCCTTAGTCTCTTCTATGCCCCCGTTTGAGTAAAGTAGAGGTGCCTATGCCGTGGCCAATCCTGAGACGTCGGGTAATACCCATATCCAGGCCGTACCTAGAGATACTGCAAAAGTCGACCGACCGATGTCAAGTATCCCGGGGTCTCAAGCTCAGTGACAACAACGGTGTGGAACAGCCAGACCATGCTGTTTGGCGGGCTGCTCTCATGAAGATCCCTTTGCTCCTTGAGGAGAATATCGCGAGTCGCGCCGGCGTTTAGAGCCTTCTGAATTAATTCGACAGCTTGAAAAGCGAGAGATCTTTTGCAGTCCCGGTCTATGAGATAAGCGGGGTCAGTATTTGGTTTACCGTATTGAGAACGACGGTGGCAACATCTGAGACATCAAGCATGTGCTTCCTGAGTGCTGACAGTCATAGAGTAGGCTAAATCGGGTGCTTTGATGTGAAAGCCTGAAGCCATTTGGAACACGGATGGAGTACTAACCACGGGCAAACTCAATGAAACTGTAAAGAAGTACATCAGTATGATATTCGAACAATCTCTAATAGCCGGCCGAAAGAGCGAAATGCAATACTTACGCCATTTTAGAAAACTTTGTATCTATGTGTTGAAAAACACGCGGAAAAGCCAGTTGGATTTGACAAGGAGATGTCTCGTCGTGGTGTTGAAGATTCCCAAAGACAGCTAGTTGGCGACAAGATAAACCCAGTATAAATAGGTAGGTAGTGAGAAGCATCGCAGGAGAACACAACAACAGAATTAGCATCCCAACTGCTTTTCCATTCACTTCCCAGCGGCCAAGGTTCCTTCCCATATTAATAATATATTATATGCGACTAAGCACAGGGGTTTAACTTAAAGGTAAGACATGACCGACTCAATGCCCTTCACTTGCACCTGCCATCCCATTACGTAGAGGTTGGAGAACCTCGGGCAACCTAAGGTGGGCGAAAGAAAGTAATCTGAGGATTTGTATCCGTAAAGCCTTCCTTTGGCGACCGCGATGAGTTAGGCGTTTTTCGAATCATGTCCGCGCTTTGAGAGTGTACACCACAAACTTTATCCATAGGTCCCATAACCTTCATTCTAATCCCCTCCAATACCATGGACTTTGCCGATGCCTTCAGAAAGCGTAGCTTGGTTGCTTCAATTCATCCACTTTCCGTAAGCATGCGAAGATAGTTCGCTTTTGAAGGATGATTCGCAAAGACACCACGTGGGAACGTTGGAAAAATCTAGACAAACGGGATGTAAAAGCTCTGGAGTCTGCTGCCACAGTAGCCGGTGAGGTATATTAGCAAATATTTCTACTCAACAGGAGTATCGAGAAAAAAAGTTGGGAGAACTTACACATGTAAGATGGCCGTTGCCGCACGGTTCGCCCTCTTTCTGTCCGTTGCCTCCTGCCACCATTTGCGATCTCTTCTGGTGACTGATTCTCCCTTGAGACGGGTGCCCCGGATGAATCTTTGATGTAATGGGCTCTGTCGGTGCAGGCGTGCCTCTGCCGCATGTTGACTAAGTACTAGGACCTACCACGCGTGGAGGTTAAATGGTAGATAGGCGGGTTGTGCAGGCAGCACAAGCGGAACCTAAGCGTCAGAGACAAAGAGGCAGGTGCAGTACACTCGCAGCAGCCAGAGGTTTCCGCTACTCTCACCCCGTCAGCACTTTCAAATTCCATGGAGGTACCGTACTAATTTCGCACTTCCTTTGCTCTGTCCGTCGCTAACTTTCCCGTCGTTAGCCATCTTTTCGACACGCCCCGCGCAATTTCCACCAGGCGCGCCGCTGAACTCGATGGCTATTTCGACCTCTCCAATTGCGCCATCATGCCTCTCCCCAACTCGGTCCAATGTACGTGGACATGCACCCCAACGACTCGCCGAAGGACAAAAAACCAACGAGCCCCTTCATCTTTGGTGACATCTTCCGAGATGCACCGATGAGGAAGCGGTTTGCTATCCCAGCCGTCATCGGACTTTTCACTCAATAGTCTGGGAATGCTCTTCTGTCTCTGTGGTTTCTCTGTTGTTTCTTATGAGGTATGGAATATGTGACTGCAGCGGATGTACTGCCAGATCAAATGCCAAGTGGGATCCGGTGGAACAGGTCAAACGCCAAATTGCCGAAGCTGCTCGGGTCTACTTCTGCGGTGTTTGCCTAGTCTCTTATGTCACCCAGGGGCACCTTGACCTTGATAATCACAACAGCTGCAAACTTCATTTGAGGAGTGTTCCTGCGGCTGAGATCAACAAACCTGTCATCATGGTCAAGCATTGGGGGAACGTAAAGACCGAGTTAAACAAACGTATGACAACATACCCTTCAGAGCACCCTAAGGTAGGACAGAAGATGAAGAAGTCAGAATGGACCATCCCATCACTTGGAGTCAACAATCTGTGAGTTTGGAACCTAATTACTGCCATTCCAAATCTGTCCCCCAGACAGGCACAAAGGGCAGAGAGACAGGAGGACAAAACTCAGCAGATCACAAAGGCCATTGATAATACATAGATTGGCAGAACGCAGAGTCTATCCCAAGGTAGAAGTGCTACTTAGTCCGACAGAGAAATCTCGCCAAGCAACCCTATCGCCCTCCAAACGAACCAATTCGACCCCCTTTCATTCCTCCCGAACAGTCCCGAGGATCTGAAAAATTGTCAAGTCACTTGGCTCCAGATATAACTTGTGAAATTCTCAAGGGAATGGGACGACAAGGTTAACAGAATTAATAACAACCATAGTTAAATTTTGAATTTGTATATTCCTCTATCTTAAGGATAATTGGATATCTGTCGTACGCGTAAGAAGTCTAATAGATAGAAGAATCGAAAATATTAAGATCGTCTAGAGCTTTGTATCGACATTTCAATGAAGGCTAAAATAATAGTCGTCTGTGACGATATGGATCCCGCAACTCTCACACATTATGAGATTAGATAAGGAAGACGGTAGAGACTGGCAGAATCTAGGCTCCTCTCATGTGAGGATGCACTTTAGAGCCCAGCTCTCAATCTCTTCCTCTTTTCTTCTTTAGCTTTAGTTATTTATTCATTTGTACCCAACTACGCGTTACGGAACTACGTGAGCTGGTGCATCGTAACAGAGTATATCGGAACCCGCCCCCTGTAGATTAAAAATTCCCTTCCAACTACAACTACTGTGACGGCGCGGCTCAACCGCTGGTCAGCATTGCTCCTATGGCTGCATGGTTCTTGGCAGTGCACAGTATATCCTTTGCGCCGCAGCCATCCTTTGTATTCTAGTTCTTCTTTTTCCTCATCTTTCAATCTTCATTCAATAGTAGGGTCATTGTCGCTTTGCCGCATTCCTTCCCTCTATTCGCCGTGACAATGACGGTCGACGATGTTACAATGCACCAGCTCACGTAGTTCCGTAACGCGTAGTTGGGTACAAATGAATAAATAACTAAAGCTAAAGAAGAAAAGGGGAAAAGATTGAGAGCTGGGCTCTAAAGTGCATCCTCCCATGGGAGGAGCCCAGATTCTGCCAGTCTCTACCGTCTTCCTTATTTAATCTCATAATGTGTGAGAGTTGCGGGATCCATATCGTCACATACTCCAATATTGGCGAATATTCTCAAGTAGTCTTCGGTGCGCTTAATGCGCTTCCGTACTTTATTAATTTGCTTTAGTATTTTGTTGTTGTTTATAGAGCTTGCCTTGCGCTTACTACCAGCTTACGTGGCAGTAACAAGGATAAAACTATACCAACGTTATTACGATATATCAATTTGGACTTGATGGCGTCCGTTATAGACCTTAAGCCCTAGTATATCACATCATCTGCGTTAGACTATTTTTGATACTACCTAAATAGGTTCTTGATCTGGCTGCGGTACCGCTTATAGTCCAGGTTCTCTAAGTCCAAAACATGAACGCAATACGAAATTGGGTATAAGTTTGATAGTTTATATTATTAGCGCTGTAACTTCGTACAGTTTCCCAGTTTAGCAACGCCACTGTCACAGGCATTACTGCCCTGTTCCTGTATATAAGTGCACATGCACATGTGCTGCAGTAGTGTAGCCAGCTGAGTGCAGCTGTCTAGCTGCAGTACATTCAGCAGTCTGAGCACAGACTGCTGTCATGGCTCTGGGTGCCCTACATAGTTCTCGTGCGCACACAAGATTCTCTTCCTGTTCTTCGTATAATAATTAAAGTCTTAGCTTAGTGCTTGCTCGCGCCCCATAACAGCCACCCACGATACTGGTAATTAGGAAAAGGAGCTTCCAGTTAGTTACGCCGATCTACTATACAATAAGGGCGGGACCAGGAGCGGAACTAGGGGCGGAACTAGGAGCTGGATAAGAGGCTCGGAATAATTGTCATGGAGCTGGCGCCTAGGGGTATTTGCCTGGCTTGAACTCTATGAAAGCCAGGCCTGCCCTCTAACTGGGTGCACTCCTAGGGTATGCCGCACGAACCACATTTTCGACCTTGGCGTTTCTAGCACCTTCGATATACGCACCTCTCTTGTGTATTTAGCTGTAAGCTCCATGCCATACTGGCACAGACTTCCCTTTTCCTCTTTGTCGAATATTATCACTTTCACCAAGGCCTACCTGTGTGTATACCTCGTAGAACCCTTACAATAATGAGTAGATTGTTAACGACTAAGAAAATAGTATCTGGATACTCGAAACTGGGTATAAGTAAAAAAAAGCTACATAAAGAGACTTAAACTTACTTAAAATAATAAAAGTTTCACCCAGAGTGTGTTAGCTACGTACATTAGTATTGGTATAGAAAATATTGAGGAAATAGCGCCCTTCCGGTTCCTATATCCTTTTAGGGAGATTGATACAATGGTCAAAAGTAACGAGAAGTATATATTTACAAACCTTGGACACTATAGACCTAACGTACAAATAGGCCTCGGACCAACCTCAACATACTTAAATCAATTGATTTTATATTTAGC